AAGTATTGTCACATATTGAAGAGCTATTGATATATATCTTCTTGCCTTCAAGTCTCAAAGTTCATATCTGGCTTACTCAATTTTAGTATAAGAAATATCAACTCTTTTATCTTAGAGGCTTTTATTTGCCTTTACAATGTAGCTAATTGACCTAGGAAATGATGTATCTTAGTTTCCATCTGAGATTACTCCACCATATCTTCTATACTGTAATTTCTTTGGTTGACTTTATTACTGTAATGCCTTCTTTTTTTTCTATCTAACTTCTTAAGAGTAGCTTATGGTAGCCTCAATACAATAACTAATATGACCAGAACAATTGACCTTAGAGTAGACATTTGCTATCGATACACTACTGAGGAACAGTCTAATATTTGCTCTAATATCAATGAAATGGAATTGAACTATCTCAAAAATTTAAGATCCTTCTATTTTTTAATAATATAAATTCTATCACAATGTAGGATAAAGCAGACTAAAATAAAAGAAAATAGAATAAAACTGAATAAGAAGATGCAAAACCAAACTTTACTAAGAGAAAGGATTTGAAGCCATACTTGATCTGATGCTCAAATGGCCTTAGTTAGCCCTATTTATAATTTGCCTAACCATCTTGGAACTTTTTAGAATGTTCTTAATAGTAGATTTTACCTAAATAACTGCCTTAAGTTCTTTTTAAAATATTCTATAGTAGGCCCCATCGAGATAACTATCCTAAGTTCTTTCTAAAATATTCCATGGTAGATCTTACATAGTCCACTAATCTAACCCTAATTCTAAAAACTTCTATAAACTTCTCAAACATGGCTCCAACTATCTATTAGTATATGTCAATAATACAAATATCTTAATTGGATTCCGTTACATTAGTAAAAAATCAAAAATATTCTTAATGAAAAAAATTAAATTCCTTCATGTAGAAATTATAGATAGTCATTTTTTGTCTTTTACAAATATTACTCATAATATTATTCCTTTTAGATATAGCAACAAATGGTCATAATAGCTTAAAAAATTTTAATGTTATTAAATATTTTTTATTTGGTTTTTGTTGATTATTGTTATTAAAAAAGTATAATCTTCAAATAGTTTGAATTTCTTGTAATCTTGATTTCTTTTCATAGTATAATCTAAACTTTTATTATTCTAATAGAAAATCATAAGTTCAATATAATCAAATATTTATTAGTAAGTGCAAGAGTTTTTATGTATGTTACAAAAAAAAGTTACATTTTATTATTTATGCCACACAAATTTTTCATGGTTGAAAGACTTCATGCAATATTCTAAGTCAATAAGAGAAATATCAAGACTTTTTGTAGAAGAAAATACAAATGTTCCTCTAAAATATTATCTTATGGTTGGTTCATTGATCTTCAAGAAAAAATTCAATTATCATTTGGACCAATCTATATATTATTGCAAAACAAATTCATTCTATCTATAGAGTATTTTGATGAAAATATGGCAAAGAACTTCATATGCTATTTGAAATTTTTAGTATAAGTTCTTATCTTATTGTGAAGAAAAAAAAAATAATCATTGTAGATCTATGCAAATTATTGATAACTCAACAATATTATCATTAAGAAAATGTATATTTTACCTTTGATATTAAGACTTTTGGATTAATTGGATATAGCCAAGATCTATTCAAATATAAATCTACAAAGAGCGTATAATCTATTCAGCATAAAAAAAAATAAGTCCATAGAAGACTGGATTTCAAATAATGCATGGATATTTTTAATATAATGTCATGCCTTTTAGATTTATACATGCACCAATTGCTTTTCAATATCTTATGAATGATTTTTTTAAGAGTTTATAGATGATTTTTTTTGTTATTTAGACAATATTTTAATCTATTTTAAGAATATAAAAGAACATATTTGTTGTGTGCTACAAAAACTTAAAGATATATGATTGTATATTGAGATAGAAAAATGTGTTTTTTATACAATTTAATTTAACTACTTTGGATACATTATTTCAAATGCTGGTTTTATAATAGATCCTAAAAAATTTTAGACTATAATAGATTAGAAGATTTCAAAAATAGTAAAAGATATTCTATGTTTTTGGAGATTTTTCAAATATTATCTAATTTTTATTAAAGATTTTTTTCAAGTTGCAACTCCATTTATATATTTGAAAAAAAAAAAAAAAAAAAAAAAAAAAAAAACTTGAGTAGAATAAAGAAGTTGAAGTAGCATTTGATGCTTTCAAATAGCTTTCATTTCTGTACCAATGTTATATTACATTGATTTTTCTAAGATATTTTTTATAAAAATAAACACATTAGAATTTTTCTAAGATAGGATATTGTCACAAATAAGAAGAAGTAACAAACTTCAATCAATAGTTTTTTATTCAAATAAATTTTTAATAGTTACATCAAATTCAAGATTGAAAACAAAGAATTACTTACAATTGTGGATTTATTTTAAGAATGGAGCCATTATTTCGAAGTTACTTCTAATCTAATGATTATTTGTATAAATTACAAGAATCTTTAGTATTTCATATTAGTAATTATTTTAAATCGTTACTAAAATTATTGAAATATTAATTTATTAAGATTAGAATTTATAATCATATATTTACTAAAAATATATTAAAATAAATAAAAATGATCAAATAACATTTTAAAATTCTCTTATTTGTACTAAAGAAGAAGAAGAAGAAGAAGAAGAAGAAGAAAAAAAAAAAAAAAAAAAAAAAAAAAAAAAAAAAAACTTAGATCAACTATTAACAATTCTTTTTAAGACAAATTAATTTCATCTTTAAGCTTTAAAATCAACATAAATTGTTGATTGAAATTTTATTATTTATTTCAAAAAAAGCTTATATATTCTTTAGTTTAAGAAATTTCTTTATGTTTTTTTATTTCAAGAAATGCTTCTATTTTCTACAATTTGAAGTAAAACTATATATTTTTAAAGCTCACCACAATTTTTTAAGTAAAATACATTTTAAATAGAATAAAACTTCTTAGATTATTATCAAAAGATTATTTCTGGCTTCAAATATAGAAGGCAATTAAAGAATTTGTATAATCATATGATATTTGTTTAAGATCAAAAATTCCTTGTTATCAACCATATGAACTTCTTCAACCATTATATATACCAAAACAATATTTGATCTTCCATTTTTATGGATTTTATGTCAAATCTTTTAATTTCGTATTTTTATAACTATGTATTCATAATAATAGATTATTTAACTAAGATAAAACATTATGTATCATATACAAAATCTATCATAAACAAATAATCATTTAAACTTTTTTCTTGCAATATTTATTGCTATCATAGATTGCTAAAAGATATTATTTTAGATAAAAAAAAATAAAAAAATAAAAAAATAGTTTATATCAAGGTTTTGAAGAATCATTTTTAAAATATTGAAAGAGGATATAAAATTTATCTTTAGTTTTTTATTCTTAAACTGATGGACAAAAAATGTTGTATTATATAAAAACTAACTTAAGAATGTATTAAGCATTTGGTTGTGTAAAGATTAGAACTTACTTTAAAGTTTGATTTGTAATCCTAAATAATCCATAAGGTGTTTATAATTACCTTTTTACATTCTTGAATAACCTAAATAAGCTAACAATTATCTGGAGTATATCATATTAAATTTTTAAAAATATAATATAAATCTTATCATATATATATATATATATATATATTTAAATCTTTAAATAATAACTAATATATTATAAATAAACCTCAATTAAACTCTAATAAAATCTAAATCAAGCCTTAAATCCTAAATTTTATTCAAACTTTGAAATCCAAATCCTTGTCATAATCAAATCTAAATCAAATTTTAATTAATTTTTAATAAATTCTTAATAAAGTCCTAATCAGACTTCATCCAATTTTTAATCAAATTTTAATCAAATCCTAATTAAATCCTCATTAAATCTTGTAGAAAATTAAAACTTTAATAATTAATAATTTAATTTTAAATTTTAATGCAAAATTTGTATACTTTTCAATTAATTAGTTCAAAACAAGTAATTTTTTTTGATAATATAAATTTTTATTCTATAAAAGATAAACTTCATATTTGCCTAAGTATTGTATAGCCACTTTCTCCAACCTTGATATCAATCTTTGAGTATCAATATATCTTGATTTCATAATCTAATTACTTTCAAACTTTGCATATTTATTGAAAGTCAAGTTTGCTACAAGTTTTAAATAAAAAATTTCAATCCAATAAGTGGATTTCTACAAATCTTGAAACCTTCACTAGTCCTCCAAACTCCAATTTTTAAGACTCCAATGCACTTGAATTTTAATCATTTTTACATGAACCACTTAATCAAGCTCAAAATTATGACATAAATTTAATTTAACTATAATTCTACAACTATAAAATTCTATCTATAGATCAACTACCAATTTTTAAAAAATTTCTTTAATATGAATTTTTATGTTTTTAAAAAAAATCAATATCAGTTCAAAACAACTATGACTTTGTAAAGCTTTCACAAAGTCATTGCAAACTCAAATCATTGCAAATCATTGGTTAAAAAAAAAAAAAAAAAAAAGTCTGCCTTCAAATTCCACTCTATAATCAATCAATAAACTCTAGAATTACAATAGATGTATGGTTTTTTTGGGGGGATCTAACCAGGAATAGGTCATCTCTTTAAAAGAGTTCTAACCAGGAATAGGTCATCTCTTGAAGCTGAATAAAGCAAGACCGTGAATAGAAGTTAGTGCTGGTTCGGCAGAACAAGACATGTAAAAACTTCGAAGAGGAACGAGGAATGTTGTGTTATCAATCCTGCTCGATCGGTGCAAACTGGAACCCTGATAGAATCTTCCAGAACCAATTCTTACAGAAACCGAGTGGATCCTTGGTAAAATAGGAACTTACATGAGAGATTAGAGTTTGCGAGCTCTTAGACCTTAAGATTGTCACACGAGTTTACTTTTTGTGGCCTCTCTGACAAATTGCAAGCACAAGGGAGATTCACTAGAGCATTTTCAATGGGTTGATAAACATGTGTTTGAAAACGCAGCGGACTATGAGTTTATTGAATCAAAAAAACAATGGTAAAGCTGTTTGGAAGGCGCAAGAATAACGCACTCGGCAGCCGGCAGCCGAGAAGGCTTCGGCACCATTCCATTGCCCCGTCTGGTCCCTCCACCATGTACACGGCTTTATATTGCAGAAGCAGACAGAGATCAGCCAAGGCAATCAGTGCCATCCTACCTGCAGCTGCGGCTTTCTTTCGGAGGATACACTTTTGAGGATGTGGTCCGAAACTGCAGAATGAACAGACGGAGGAGGCGAGTCTCTCGCTCTGAGAGAGTTCCGGCTCCTCAGTCAACAATGTGGCTCAGCCACTCTGCCCAATTGTCCTCGTTGTCGATATCAATGGACTTCATGTCATGGTTGAACATGACATCTGCATGCAGTTAATACATCATGAAATTGGTAAAACACTGTCGTCATTAAATCCCCAGATTTAGGGTTAGGAAAATGTCAATTGGATGTTTATTTGACTCGGTTCTTTTTTTTTTGTTTTTATATGCTTCAATTTCGGTTCTTTTTTTTGTTTTTATAAACGCAGGTTCTTATGAAATCGAAATTATCATATGACATGTGTACTAATTCTTGTTTAGAATCGCATTCAGCACAGACTAAGTCGCCCTCAGTCCATACATTTAGAATATGTCACCTAATATTCTCTCATGTTCAGTTGGTTCTGAAAACAAGCAAAACTTTCGATTTCAATTACAAGATTTAAATAAAATAAAATAAAATAAATCTTATTTATTTATTATTACAAATTTTTTAAAAGCAGAATAAGAAGAAGACAAACCAAGAAATTTAACAGCACACAAATTGCAAGTAAATGGAAGGGCAGCAGGAGGAGAAGACCTCCAAAACCAGCGTCGCGCGGTGCCACCTTGGACTGCCACAGTTCCCGATGAGCACCAACCCATTGGACGAGCATCGCGACGCCTCAACCGTAGCGAGATTGCAGAGGGATAGGCCCTTATCTCGTTTGAACGGCCCAGCGTTCTCGTCTTGAACGGCTGGCTTGAATTTGCACACAAATCCTGATAACACTTACACAATCTCCTTGACTTTGTATTCCCAGCAGTGATTCTGGACCTGCACCCACCACTCCACCGGAACTCGAGCAGCTCAACGCCATGGCTGCCACCGCGTTCGCCGCGGCCTCTGTGCCCAGCACTGCTTCCCTCAAGGTACCCTTTACTCCCTGTAATTTGTCGTCAATTCTATGCATTTAGATGGCTATGGCTACGGGTCAATGCACACAAGAATGTGCCAACCTTAAGCTGATAACTACCCACCATTTCGAACCAGAACAAGTTTGTCCCACTTCGGCAGTCTGTTTCGACAATGTAGTAATCAGTACCTGTACTGGTAGTGCTGATGAGTTTTTAGAAGGAGCACCATAAACGTAGTTGCAATGGATACATCTATGTAGAACTTGTGGTGCAAATTGTAACCGGGATCATAGTTGCATATGTGGATTGTGGACAGTTCACTGTCGCAAGTAGTGTAGACTACTTACAGATTCTCCGTGAACTTATAATTTGGACGCAATTTCGCGAACCAACTTGCCGACTGAAGTCTTGCGACGAGAAATGCCTGGCCGATCTGAAGATCGCAAAGACCCAAATGTTATACTCATCTAGAACGAATTCGAAATGCGAAGTCGAAATTCGATAACTGTAGATTGTACAGTTATGTTGAAGCTTGCCTGCGGACAATGGCCGTCGGGCTTCGATCGTAACACTTCGAAACTGACTCTTTGCTGCTCGCACAACAGGGCGCAGGTTCCAAGGGATTCTCAGAATTTTCGGGAATGAAGAGCACCAGCATTGCTACGTTTGGCAAGCAAATCGATGACCTCGCTTCGATCGTCGCTGCCCAGTCCGCTGTCGTAAGCATCCTCCGAATTTCCTGTATCTGTGCATGCCATGGAATGACAAATATTGATGTGCGACTATACCTTAAAAAAAAAATCTTCCTTCAGAAGAAACCATGTCGATGTTGCCTGACACCTTCCATTGTTCCAGTCTGCCAGCTCCGGAGCCAGCAGGGCCGTCACCGAGGCCAAGATCAAGGTTGCCATCAACGGATTCGGACGTATCGGACGCAACTTCATCCGCTGCTGGCACGGCAGGAAGGACTCTCCCCTCGACGTCGTCGTGATCAACGACACGGGAGGTGTGAAGCAGGCGTCTCATCTGTTGAAGTATGACTCCATGCTCGGCACCTTCAACGCAGACGTTAAGGTTGAGGGCAACGATGCCATCAGCGTGGACGGAAAGGTGATCAAGGTGGTGTCCGACAGGAACCCTCTGAACCTGCCATGGGGGTAAGTGATGAACAGATCCTAGTTGCAGCGTGGGATGAGCAGGGAGCTGCGTTAGTAACATGCGAATTGGCGAGGGCCGTATTCTGGGTGGCATCATGGGGGTGGTTGGGAGGAGGACCTGGTGAGATGGAGTGATATGTGTCGTGACGAGTTGGTGGTAATTTGTTGCAGCGAGATGGGCATCGACCTGGTGATCGAGGGAACCGGAGTGTTCGTGGACGAGGCGGGCGCCGGCAAGCACATCCAGGCGGGAGCGAAGAAGGTGTTGATTACGGCGCCCGGAAAGGGTGCGATCCCGACGTACGTGGTGGGCGTGAACGAGCAGGACTACAAGCACTCGGACGCGATCATCAGCAACGCATCGTGCACGACGAACTGCCTGGCGCCGTTCGTGAAGGTGTTGGACGAGAAGTTCGGGATCATCAAGGGCACAATGACGACGACCCACTCGTACACGGGTGACCAGAGGCTGTTGGATGCGTCGCACCGTGACTTGAGGAGAGCGCGTGCCGCAGCTCTGAACATCGTGCCGACGTCGACGGGAGCCGCGAAGGCGGTGGCGCTGGTGCTGCCGAACTTGAAGGGGAAGATCAACGGAATCGCGCTGCGAGTGCCGACGCCGAACGTGTCGGTGGTGGACTTGGTGGTGCAGGTGGAGAAGAAGACGTTTGCGGAAGAGGTGAACCAGGCATTCAGGGATGCGTGCGAGACGGAGCAGCTGAAGGGAGTGTTGGCGGTGTGCGACGAGCCGTTGGTGTCGGTGGACTTCAGGTGCACGGACGTGTCGTCGACGGTGGACTCATCGCTGACGATGGTGATGGGAGACGACATGGTGAAGGTGGTGGCATGGTACGACAACGAGTGGGGATACTCGCAGAGGGTGGTGGACTTGGCGAACCTGGTTGCGGAGAAGTGGCAGTAGAAGGATGGCGTGGAGATGGAAGCGATCCGATGCGGTCCCAGTGGCGGTGGCGGTGGCGATGGGTGTGCCGGAGCTGCGAACAGTTGGCAGCAGGCGCGGTGAGTGAGGCACCGCGGGTGTGCGGGAAAGGAGTGAGGTCGCAGTGGGATTGTGGGGGATGGATCGAGCCTTGGGGGATTGTTGTGAGTAGTAGTAGATGTTCATCGCCAAGGTGGCGGTGAGACTCAGGAGTTCCCCGAAGGTGGCATTGCTAATGTACTCATTCGTCGAGCCTAATTTATTTGTTTACTTGTACGCCTCAATCTGTATTGCAGTCAATTCCACGGTCTCTGTGTTGATGAACATGAAGCGCACAAAAATGCGGTCATGGTTCTTCGCAACTGATTTTTCTTCATGTAACTTATGTAATCAGCTACCTTTTGATGATGCATAAATCTGCCCCTGTGATATTCATGAAAAAACTGTAGTAAAGGCTATTCTTGTTGCGCTTAAGTTGTAGTAAGTATCTAGCTGCTTTACGGTACTTACTCTGATCTGGAAAGTGTAGAGCGACGTGGCGGAGTGAAAGATGCAGTTATATTGATGTGGGAATGTTAAATCTGTGTGCTGAGTTATAGTTGATTGTTAAGACTCGTTTGCGGCTGTGCTTCTCTGAGCCGTTTTAACCGTAGGATATATGTAGCTTTTGAACCAGTTCAAACGATTGATACGTCGGTGGGTAGTATGAAAGTACAGATTGTAGAATGTGGTTAAGGTAAATATCTCGATGCTATTGGTAGGGTTGTTCAATAAATATAATTATTCGAATGTCTATGTTGGCGGTTGATGATTAGTGATGTTGCTATTGTAATCCGACATTTTTCACGAGGTAAGAGCTACTAAATTGCATATTTATTGACTAAAGGAGTATGTTAATATCGTTGAATCAGTATAGTAAAGGAGTATATTAATATCACTTATTTTGCAATATGCAAAGTTGTTTAATGTTCTCAATATAAACCAGAGTTTTCAAATCTATCTGAAAATATTGAGATAGTGGATGATGTTTGGATAAGTTGTAGGTGTGAAAATTTGTGCTTGTAGGTGATATGTCAATATAAATGGACAGTTGTGTCCAAGAAGATCTTATACCCAGCTCGATAGAGTGAGTGTAGCTGATTCTCTTCACAATGGTGCCCTCATGTGGCCAGAGAGAGGTAAGGGAAGGGTTGAATAAGGTTTTGGGAGGATTACTAAGGCTTTGGAGGTAGGGAAGTCAATCATTCAATAGGTGGTGAAGAGAGGGGATTCATAAGGGGGGTCATGGTGAGAATGTTCTTTGCCAAGATCATCCACAAAAAATTACAATGGTTGTGTGAAAGAGAGTAGATGAGGTAATAGATGAAGATCCTTGGTTATCTTTGCAAGAGATTGCAAGATAAGCAGATGTTTGGCTATCTTTTTCAATCATTTGTAAGATTGTTTCTACTAGTGGCTTCTACTTGAAGGTGCTGCAATTGAAACTCTATCGGACATCAATACAAAAAGAGAAATGCAAAGAATTTGCTCTTAGATGTCATGGGTGGGATGTGCAGCAGTAGACTAGGATTTGTTTTATTAATAAGTCCACCATAATCTATGATCTATGTTCAGCACAAAAGAAGATCTATATGCATCAAGATAACAAACTACTCAACAAGAATTTGAGAATTAGTTCCAAGTCAAGGAAGACCAATGTTTTAAGATAGCATTAGTGAGAAGGAGGATGGAAATAGTAAGAAGGAGGATAGAAAGGGTGCTTATTTCTCCTCATAATAGACTTGGTTTCAATGTTGTGCAATTTGTTTAGGAATTGCACAAACCTTAAATTATTCCTTTCATTCATACTCTAAGCAATGAGCAAAGTCACATCTATTTGGTTGTGGATGGAGCAAGATTGCATCAAGGGCCTAAGAATACAAGCATATAGAGAGAATTTGGCAATTCACAACTATCTTAGTTATACAATTGTGTTGACCTCAACCCAATTAAGAATTGTTAAATGATTATCAAACAATGCCTTAGAAAGTGTTTCTTCCCTAAAGAGAAGACCTCATAATACACAACAATAGTTTGAAACAACACAAGAAGAGTAGAATTTCATTGATCTAGACATAGATAAATGGATAGATGAAATGCCTAAAAGATTGCATGCAATTCTTAATGCAAATGCAAGTCACACTCAATGGTAGTGAAGCTTAGATGGTATTCTTATGGTATTGTAAATTTTTTAAATACATGAGCTCATATGTGGTTGTGAGCCTCACCAAAGTATACTTATTTTTTTATCACCATGAGTTACAAAGCCTTGCTACTCACAATTGTACATATTTAATAATTAATTCTAAAAACTAAAAATATTTGTAAGAAGAAATATGAAAATTATTTCAATATATAAATATATTTTAAAATAAAGATAGAATTGTGGATATTTGAAGGCTTATTTTTAGCTAACTAGTTTTTGCTATAGCACATTTATTCTTTTCTATGATAGTGTTGTTGTTGTTACAATTAATTACATGTATAGAGTATATAATTACAAATTTTATTTTATATAGGAATGATGAATAAACTTAATATAGTTTACATTGCATGTAATACTTTAGTTACTCAAAGATGTATAATAGAAGTGCATTGCTAACAACCCAATTTGTATGAAATTGTTACTAGATGTAATTACTAAATATGGAAAAAAAGATGTTAATTGAAGTTATAGTTGATAGTATATGTGGTTTGAAAATTAGTTGATAACATGTATAATTGCATAGTGTGTATTATTATTATTATTATTATTAATTTATATTTTTATATTTAAAAATTTACTATTAATGCTATTATGCTTAATGATGTATAATTTACATGTTTTGAGTACTTTTAGGTTCTTTTGGCAATAAGTTATGTATTAGAAAAAAAAAATGTTGGCACAAAATTTGTAATTTTTAGCCTATACAATGCTAGGTCTTTTCTAATTGTTCAAACTTTCTTGCTTAGTATAATATTATTTATTTAATATAAAGAAGAAATTATAAGATCGTTTTTATGATATATCTTGTATTTTTTTTAATTTTTTTTTTAATATGCATGGATCAATAAAGATATAATTACTATTTTGTGGTATCTCCATCTATTTGTGCAATAGAGTATTATATATATATATATATATATATATATATTAGTACTAGCAAAAATATGTGTCATCGCATATGAAAAAGCAATGAGTAGACTTCTTTATCCTTTAGTCATTTAACTAAGTTTTATTTTTATATGGAATATAAATATATAATTATATATTAAATATTATATAATTTTATTATTACTTATTTAATTTTTGTATTTAAAAACCACATGGGCCCCAATACTTGAAGCCTTAGCCATGTCCATTTGTGTAATAATACCTGCACTTTCTGATTTGCACCCCTGTTCCAAACTCATGTCTTGACTCATGGCCTTAGACAGCTCCATGTTCCCTTCTTCACAACCAATCAAAAGCTTTCTTTATCCCTTTGTATTGTACCCATGTTGTCTTTCTCACTCTCTCTCCTTATCTATATATATCAAAGAATACTAATATGTATGTGGTGCAACCTTTGTTATCTTATAACCAAAAATATTAATAAAATCACTAGCTATTTTTTTATTAATTTAAAATTTAAAATTAAACTTATGTTTTAAAATTTTTATATATTTAAATTTGAAATATTATTTTATTTTATTTTTATTTTTAATGATGAAAATAAATTTTGTAAAATCCTTATGGACATCAAACATTTGTCAATGGATATAAAATAATGAATTTTTACATTAGAAGTAAATAACCAAAATCAAGAGATTGAGTAGTTTTTTTCTTTCTTTCTTTTTTTTCCTAAAAATTACTAAATGAAAGAAATCACTTAATTAAGACAATCATTGATGATGAAAACTTGTGTTAAAACTTATATAAGCATTTTTTATATTTTAAAGTAAAATCTTGTGTTTAAAGTATTTTTAAAAGCTGTATTTAAACTTTCTTATATATATATATATATATATATATATATATTAGTGGTTAAACCCATTGGCTTTGCCAACATTGAGTATGTTTTTGGCAGCCAATCAAAAAATAAAATATAAAACACAATTTTGATTGGCATCGATTTGGCTACCAAAAACCTTGACAACCAATTAGTGCCCCTTATTGCAATTAAAAACAAAAAAAAAAAAAAAAAAAAAAAAACAGCGCCAAGTCAACTAAGTGCAGCTTCGGTTCATTTGCACAGTTGCCCATGCCAGCCCCGGCTCGTCCCAATTCTCTGATCCCAATAATTGGATTAAACCCATAACTAGATTTTACCACTCTACTGCTATCGACAATGGGATTTTTTGACTCTCCAACCAAACTTAGGTTAGTCCATTTATATATATATATATATATATATATATATATACACACACACACATACAGAGGTTAATGTGGGGAGAAGAGCTAACAAAAAAAAAAAAAGAAAAAAAAAAAAACCGTTGAAATCAACCACTGCTGGATTGCAAAACTTACAGCCTGAACTTGGATTATACTTCACACAGCAAATACTTGCTTTCATAGCCATGGTAAGCACACTTGACTCTTGCCTTGCACACCATAGTTTCATCTGTGTACAGCGATATAAGAAACCCAGGAATGGATTGAACAATGGATTTCATTCTAAATGCAGACAGCCAAAAACTGTTATTAAATCTGTGAAACCAAGACAATTAGTTGTAAGTTCGTCATCTGTGGGGATAGATCGCTGAGCTACCGTTGCTGCAGCCAGAAGCTCTCGCTGGATCGATTTTGTTGGGTTGTCGCAACAGTGAAGAGATTTGAGAAGAGAGAGGTTGGACCCAGATTTGGAGTAGCTTGAAGGATGTCGAGGAGGTATTCGAAGGCGCCACCGCAGGCGGAAGAAAAGCCTTTGCATGATGCGGCGCGGAACGGGGATGTGGACGAGACCATCCGTCTCCTTGCCATGAACCCTGCTTCTATCAATGAGCGTGACCGACACTCTCGTACTCCGTATCCTTAAATTCCTCTCTGGTATTGGCGCTGCAGTTTCATTTTAGCACCACCTCAATCGGGTGTTCCAATTTTGTACACCCATTGGTTTTTGTTGGTTTTATGAACGGTTGCATGTTGCATTTAGGTAGCTGGTAAGGCCTCTCACAATCGCTGTGTATCGTCAAAGAAATTGCGTGCCTGAATTGGGCCGCGGAGATGGCTAATTTTTCTCGCCTTTTTATTGCTTGTATGGGTCGTTATATCTGTATTAGGTCATGAGTCTGCTGCATTTGGATACTTCGTGCTTAATACGAGAAAGTTACAGAGACGTTGCAAATGCTGAGTGGTGCTACATGTCGAGCTGGAGAAGACAACGGCGACACAAGGAGAAATTTGAATATTTATTTTTGTTTCGTACGGTTGTGTAGCATCACCGTGGTTGTGACCACCTTTGAGAGAGACTAAGTTCTGTGAGCATTTCAGGGATATAGTTGGTTCGAACATGGGAAGTTGTAATTCCGTTGAAATTTTAGGGTTTGGATTGGTGTCAGTCACAACGGATGGTCGAAAAGTTTTCCTCTTGAATTTCAGTAGGTTTTTAACACATGATGCTCTCAGACTTCCCTGCTACATGGGATGCTTGAATTGACACTTGAAGAATCAAATTAAAGTACAATAAATTGGGGGTCCAATTGTTACGAATAGGGCTAGTTTTGGATTAAATATTGGTGGATGTCTTCTGAGAACTGAAACATGTGTTTGTGTCTTTAATCTCGATGAAGACTTTTGGAGATCTTTCCTTGAAGAATTTATGATGCGTCATTTTTATTACTTAACGAGACATGAAGACTACACATGGCAGCATGGGCAGGGCAAACCGATGTAGTGAAACTGCTTTGTGATAGCAAAGCAGACATCAAGGCCGCAGCAGGAGATGACATGGCAGCCATTCATTTTGCAAGTCAGAAGGGACATGTCGAAGCTGTTCGTTTACTGCTGGCTGCAAGAGCCGAAGTGAATACATTGACACGCAAAGGGATGACCCCTCTACATATGGCAGTTCAAGGAAACCACAAAGATGTGTGTTTACTACTAATAAAGAAGGGGGCCAACCTATTAACCAAGAACAAGGCTGGGAAAACGCCTTTGGATCTTGTTAAGGATGAAGCTTTGGGCTCCTGTATGAAGGCTGCCCAAGCTGAACGCCGAGCTCTTAAAGATTCAAAGAAGAAGAAAGAGGGCGCTGAAGGTGAAAGTGCAACGGGTGCTTCTGATATTACTGCTGACGTTGAGACAGAGAAGGTTAATTCCACAGCAGGAGTTAAAAGGGAGGGTCCTGAACTAGTTGGGGTGGAGGAGGGACAAATTGACGAGGCTACTGCCTTGAAAGGATCCAACAAGAAGGCAAAAATTGCACTTTCACATCTTGATGCAGATGAGAGGGAGGAAGATTCCTGATCTATGATGGTTAAAATTCACTATTGTGTACAGGAAAGTTTCTGGGACTGATAGAATGGCTAGAGTTCATAGAGATGATAAATGATTGATTACACACAGATATGTGCTGAGCTGGTGGGGACATGCTTGCCCTGCATCAAGCTGGACTTGACTTTCCTGAGGAAGGTTATTCACAACAACTCAACTGATCAAAGATTTGCATACTTGAGTCCTGTAACTTAAATGCTCAATGTTGCTTAGATTTTATGATTCTATGTAAGGATTTGGTCTCCATTTCTCCTTGAGATTCTTGTGATCTTCGGTTGGTTCTTAGCATCGAGTTGAATTGCAAGAACAGGATTGAAAATTGAAGGTCTGTCAATGCAGTCACGGTTCGTTGAACATGGTTCAAACGATGTCTATCATATTAACTGATTGAAATAATGCATTGAAACCTTTTATTTGATGGATACAATTTCTAACCTATTAAGTTAAACATTAGCGGATTCAAATGGAATATTAACCATCCAATCAAATAGCCAAATCTAATGTATATGGTTTGAAGTGTTACATCCTCAAGATTGATAGGAACTAGGAACAAGAAGGAAGCAAGGGTAGTAGGTATTGGATCCATATTCTGGTATTTATTTGCTTTTCTGAAACTGTAATAATGTCATCATGTGGTGTTGGGAATTATTACATGATGAAAACAAAATTATTGGAACTATTTTATTCATGTGATAATTAGTTGTTCCAATCCTAAGACAAATGGCTATTAATTTTATTGATGGCATGAAGCTTTTTTTTGAATGCAAATAATCAATCTATTTAGAAAAAATGATGTAATGTATTTTAAAGAAAAAATCAAACAAGTAATTCAATTTGCTAGTATATTATATAATACAATGTAGTAATAGAATCCACTCTTGATATGTATTAATATTTTGGAAACTTATAATATTTGTGTGGTATTAACACTTTAATATTTATTAAGGGTAGTATAGACAATTTATAACATTTATATGATTTTGGAATTAAAAATATTAACACTTATATAAATAAAAGGATGAAAATATATAAGATATGAATATCATTATATATCTAAGCATAATAAAAGAACAAATCTGATGAGATTCTTCTGCATCCTAAGATCTTATTTCCTTTTGAAGTATTCAAATCCTCTTGATGAGAAGTGTAACATCACTAGGCCTTGGTTCTAAAAATTGTTTCAAGGACATAATGTACTTTTAGCATCCTTAAATCCTATCCTATCTACCATCACATCACCAATTTCTACATTGTTAGCTTCTTCAATAGGTTCATTGTCAATTGCATCATCTATTTCATGAAGCTTACGTATAATTTCCTCCTCAATAGGTATGTAGGGATTGTTTAGATAAAATTTCAGTTCATTATTGATGAATTCATGTGCATTCATAATAGATCCAATTTCACTCTCTACAAATATTGATGCAAGTTGTTCCAATAAGGTAGTAACTTCTTCCAACTCTTTCTTATGTATTGCTTCTTTAGCTTTTCTATCTTTCATGATTGCCTCTTCTGCTTTAACATGGTCAAAAAGAACCAAAACAATATGTATATATTTCCAAAAATTCATGATTGTTGATGCAATATCTCTAATGCCTCGAGTATTCTCTTGTATTGTCTTAGATCGATACACATCAATATCTTTTCTCTTATTTTCTAGAAGAAAATCTTTCTAGTGTTGAATTAGCCACTTGCAATATTGAGCTTTAAATAATTGAATAATTTATGCATCATTGGGTTGGAATCTACTTGTAGTATTTGGAAGAAAGAATTTAAGTCTAATCATCCTCAATTGTGCACCTACATTAGGTACTTGGTGACCTCAAAAATTATCAACTAATAGTAATACCTTCTCTTTTTATGCGACAACCATCTTCCTTTTAAAATCAAGCATAAATTCCTCAAACACACTTATAGTCATCAAAGCTTTCTTATTTGCAAACCACTTCATTTCAAGGTTATCTAGGTTGAGAATGTATCTACATGAAAATGCTTGACACTTCATATACTTATTGATAACTAAAGAAAGAAGTTTCATGGTACCATTAACATTTGCAGTAAGTACAACAATAATACATTCCTTCTCTTTATTTTTTCCAAACAATTTTTTTGAGGAAGTATATAATTTGATTCAATCCTACAAAAAAGACCCACCTCATCAATATTGAATGTGTCAAAAAGAGTATACTAAGACAAAAGAAGTTTTAATTTCTTCTATCTTCTTCAAGGTCTCAGAAGAAGTATCAGCAAATCCATCTTTTCTATGACAAATATACCTCTTTAATATGTATTCTCTTTTAAATTTGTCTACCCATCAATGTAAAAATTAAAGCTCTTTTTCACCCTTCCTTTAGGATAACCATGAAATCTCTTTATAGCAGAAATTACAAGATTGACAAATAAAACAACATTATAATCATCCATAAGCTCAAATTCAATGAAAATAGCTTGGTTTACTTGTGGACATTGAGCTTTCTTTATGCACTTTGAAATAACTAGATGTTAAACATCAATATCCAATAAACTCTTCATCTTTAGTAATCTATAAATGTTCACCTTAGAAGTTGAAGCATAATAAGTAGAATTAATCCATGCAATCAAAGCCCTTTTGGTAATATTTTGTCCACTAAACACCAACCTTTGATGATACCAAAGGATCTCTTTCTTTTGCACCAAAGCAATTTGATAGTCCTTTTCTATTATAGACTTAAACTTTCAATCTTTCTAAATCATCAAATTATAAATTTGTGACATCATAATATTGCTAAATCTTCACATGACATAATATTGGAATACAAAGCAATTGATGCAAAAAAACTTGAAGTTTAAATTTCAAAGAGATTGATGGAGTTTGTAGCAAGTAATGTTTATATGATGTGAAATAGATGATATCTCAAGATATTGTGAGTTATATACAATATTGTAAATGCCAACCACAATATGATCTGTGAATGATAGACATAATTTAATTTCATCTAAGTTATAAAATTTCATAGCCTTACTTTCATCCAAATTAATACTTATTAAGGTGAATTCATTGAAGAGATGAATATTATTTTATAAATTCTCTTAATAATTAATAATTAATACTTACTAATGTATTTTTTGAATATTTTTGGAAACTGCAATTTTTCTTGACATATTTGATTTTATCATTTATTGAGGTAATATGCATCAAGGATGGACCATATAAGTCAAAGAAAATTAACATTACATTGATCTTAGTAGTACATTTTAATAATAGTGTAACTTTAAATTATTATTATAAAAATAAATTAATAAATAAAAATAAGTGAATATATTTTATATTTCCTTGATATATTCAATCTATTGAAAGTTTTTTAATATCTTTTTGATAAGAAATTGTAAAATCTTATTTTATTTATTTTCTTGTTTTATACATTAAAAAAATATGAACTTGTTTAACCAAAATTTAAATGATTATACATATTCTTGTTAGTTAAAATATTTTTATAAGATATTAATTCATAATAAATTTTCACAAGTAATATATATATATATATATATATATATATTATTTATTATAGAATATTTGTGAAAAATTAAATATATTTATCAATAACCATACTTTATACACATCTATATTAAATATTAAAGAATATATAAATAGTTTATTTGATTTAAAAATATTGAAGGAATTTTTTTTTCTTGTATACATATATATATATATATATATATATATATATATTGTATATAAATTTTGTATATGAATTTTGGACTATCTTATAATGATATATTTTTTCTATTTTCTAAATTTCAAATAATTGATTTTCATGAAGTTCAAAATCTAACTAGCTACCTATTGTTCTTTAATCATTATCACCCATCTAAATGTTCACTTATATATAACTTTAAAATTAAAACTTTAATTACTTTGTGACTATAAATACACAAAAATTAATAAATGTAATTCTATTAAATAGTCCGCCAATCCCCAAACCCTAAACCCTTAACCCTCTCAAACACTATTACTATGCTAAGTGTCAGTGCCATTGTATCATGACTTCTTATTTGTAATTTTTTTTCATAGAAGTTCACAACACAAATTTGTTTACTTTGAGACCATCGTATCTCAACAAGAATCGATAATGGTCCAATTTGAATTTACCCATATGAATGTTGTTCACACAAGAAGTTTGAAATAATGATATCGATGAATAAGAAAAATCCCCATTTCAGAATTCGCACTGTTGTTGCAGAAGATATTACATTTCTTAATTGGGCACAGTCCTCTTGAATATATACATTTCTCTTGGCGACGCTTGCAGACTCAACAGCAAAACTCAATACATCCAGCTCCCGAAAGTTCCTACGGATGTTAAAATGATCTCGCATAGTTGCAAATCCTGTGAATGACTAAGAATGTACCCAACATAACAAACAAACAACACACGGACTTGTAAACTCACGTTCACAAGTTACATACACCCTAAAAACAACTGACGTGATACCTGATTGAATAGTTGCAGGTCAATTGTAACCAACATGACATCTTAAACCCATCTAGCGAAGAAATAGACGACCGTACATCCAAACACATGGAACGCAGAGGTGAGGGGTTTAAGTTTTAAAATACTGTGTAAAAATAAATGAGGATAGAAAATAGTGGCCAATCACTGTACGTCAGCTGGCCATTATCACACGTTTCACGACTTGTACACGACAGTTGCTACGATCATAATTACTGAACCAGTGTTCGAATCATGATTGTATGTAATTGAAGGCCGATCAAATTGGCTCATCAGCTTGCTCATTCCATTGAAAGGTTGTGACAAACTGAAAATAAGGTTACCCGACTGCAGACAGCCTCAACCAACTACAGATCAAAAAGTAGTCCCTAATTGATTCTCTATGATCGTGGCTTCTCCTTCTTCTCCTTGAAGAGCGCAAGGAGTGACACACCAGATACCTTAACCACTTTGAAACGGACTCCAGGAATGTCTCCGACGGCATGTCCCTTACGACCGAATCCGGCGATAAGCACTTCATCCTGCACAATCAAATAATGAGAACGTAAGCAAATGCTCGCCTGGTCCCGAAACGATGCATTGTGCAGAGAAAACTTACAGATCACAAGATTAATAATGAATTCGTAAATGGACAACTTGAGATCATAGCAAGTATCATGTCATTGACGTGATAAGCCGAAGGCTTACGTTCTCCTCGATGTAGTTCAAACAACCATCGTTGGGCACGAAAGCAGCAATCTTCTTTCCGTTCTTGATAAGCTGGACCCTAGCACACTTACGGATAGCAGAGTTGGGCTGCTTAGCCTCAATACCGCTGCCAAACAAAAAAAGGAAAAGATAAATGATCAGTGCTGGCGGTTTCATAGAGACAATTGGGCAATAGACACTCGAAGTCCTCGTAAAACGAGAAGACTGCCGAGTTCATTAAACACGTTTTAAGCGAAAGATAGATGCAAGCTCAGGGTTCAAGATGTTCAAAAGAGCTCCCTAAATTACATAACCCTAACCACTATAAACTAAGCCAATTCGCAAATACTTCAATCTCTATTACATTTCACAAGATCAAAAACGATCTGTTGACCTACATAAACAAAGTAAGAGGCAAGATGCGCTCACATTTTCTCAAGGACGATGCCCTTGGCATGAGAAGAACCAGCAAAGGGCTTCTTCCACTCGTTACCCAAGTGGGACTTCTTGTAAGACTTGTCAGCCCACAACTGAGCCCTGCGGTGGTTCTTGAGTTTACGTCCAGCTCCCATACCCCGCGTCTTCCTGCATGAAGCAAACAAAAACTTCAGCCCAGTCCATGTTCAACCTCGCCTCTAATCTCTCGACCCGCACGAACCAACAAAACCCTAAAACTGGAACACAAAGATCGCAATACTTTCCTGAAAAAATCTGGTTGAAGATTCTAATAAGTAGACGTACCCCATCGTGAAAAGCTTTGAGAATAGTGGGCAAAGTTTGGTGTGCGAGGAGGAGGCGGTGGAGGGTTCGCAACAAGCAGCACGCGACGACGACGCACACAGAACGCCTGCCGAAAGAAGATCTCCGACGCCCTTTGTCGTGCTTTAGGGTAAACCACGTCCCAATGCAATCCAGGTGCCCTACTTCATGTCCTCAACTATCCAGGTGGCCTTATTCACGTCCCCAGTGGTTTTCGCATCTTGAGTGGGACATCATTTCTTAATGCAGAAGACTAATGAATCTAATGCTCCATTTTATACAGAGACCCAGTTCCCCTCCTTTTCCCCATTGCTCAAATCAGTTCAAGTTTTTAACGTTTGGTGATGATTTTTCCATTTTTTGTATTATTTAACGTTGTTTTTTTTAATCGAAATCTGATACCTCTGTAATGAAGTAAAATAAAGTAAGGTGTTTATTTCACCTAATGCAAATTGTAGTTCGTTTTGTCCTTTTTAACTATAAGATTTAATCATTTTAAGAACTATGCATCTCATTTTGCATGACTTCAAGAGTTGTCTCAAGATTTTTGAATCATGCTCTCATGTAAAAAATAAAAAAAACTATCATCTGAATCCAAATAATAATAAATGCTTCAGTTAAATCCTATGAAATGCATAAGCATAACAAATGATTATTTAAGATTTTTATGTTAAAAAGATATACAAATTATAATTATTCCTCTTAGCTTGCATCAAATTTGTTGCTTAACGTGACCAAAAATTTTGCAAAGAAATTCTAATAAATACTCAATTCTACACTTATTAAATTTAGCTATTTATTTACATTAGTGAAAATTGTATGAATTACTCAATAAAATCAATGATTCGAAAATATGTCTGCATTCTTTGTTCATTTGTACACAATATAATCTGGTAAACATAATGTTTGAAACTGATCCCCTGTATCATACTCATTATACCAAATATAATTTCAATTAGTTAAACTCGGATTAATCATTTCTTTGTGTTTGTTTAGATATTTGATGATGATTTACTTCATTAAAAAATACTCAAAAAAGGAGTTATGAGTTTTATCTTTAATTTTACCTATAATTTTACCACTAAATTAGCATGCTTTAAATGTTTTATAAATATCGATTTTACAAACACACCGTATATTTCACTTCACAGCAATTCTAATTCAGTACTATTTAGTATAGTTTTGTTACCCATTGATCATTCGATGTTCACATGACTTTGTTTTATTTTTTTTAATCATGAATGCTTTTATGGTGGTGTAAAAAGTAACATAATGTTTAGATAATGAATCATCTAACTACTTAATTTTTTCCAGTAGTTCTTTATGTTGTTTATTATTTTTTATTAATATTTTACTTTATAAGTAAAAATAATTAAATCATAAGAAAAATTTCAGCTTCTAGTGAAGAATCAGATTCCAAACCATTAAAAAAAAAAAAGGAAAATTAATATCACCTGATGATGAAACAACAGTACTATTTTCAGATGTTTTAAATTAAAATTTTAGTATATCTTGTGTACTAAAAAGTGACAATTTAAATCCCTTATTCACTCAGTCTTTTAGTTTATTTTACTTGAATGTAAATTTGAACTATAATTAAAACTATAATTTTTTTTTAAAAATCTACTGATCAAAATTTGTTGCCCAACAACACATGTTTTAAAAATAAGTCAATTTAGTGAAAACTTGGGGCTATTTAACATTCTTGTATATGTATATATATATATATATATATATGTGATCCCCAGTATATGAATCTATGGTTCATGGGAGGAAGGCTCGGTTTCTATCCCTGACAAAGGGGGCCAGGTCAACACATTTCTGCACAGTTGTGAATTGAATATATATATGTATGGAAATGGCCACGTCATCCGACTTAAAAGATGACTATGTCACCAGAATGAAAAAGATAACCACGTCAGCCTAACTGAGAGCAGGCCAACCTCCCTCCGAACAAGAAATATTCCTACAATCAATCATCAGTTCAGGCTTAATCATCACAAGGCAGCGAGCTTGGACGAAGACCGCCGAGGCTGAGCGCACACTTTCGTCGAAATCCCTCTGGGCATGCCCACTTCGTCGGACGCACCTGACGGATTCCAGAGAGGAACACGACAGAAGTAGTCGGCGAGTCGCGTTCAGTTTCCCTTTGTTCGTCGACGAACTTGCCGAGAGAGCTCCAGGCTGGTTTCAGATCCAGCTTGAGGCATCAGGATCGAGGGGAGCTTCATGCACATTGCTCTCAAACCCTACGAACCGACTCTAAGCTCTTGTGGGATCCGCGTCCTCAGCGTGTCTGTGAGAGATCGCCGTTTCGCTTGCGGGATGCTAGTTTATCGAGGGTGAAATCGTTGGAAATGGTGCTGAAGCAGAGATATCGGTGTGATTTTTCGGTGTTGGTGGCAGGCTTGGTGGTTTAGATGGTTGCAGGGCGAAGTTTGTGGACGTGATCGGGAAGAGTAGTGGTGAGAGAGAGTGAGGTCAGGGGAGGTTGGATCCGCCAGCGATGGCGACGGAATCACCAGCCGGGAAGGCGCGCTCGAAGCTGGAGAAAGTAGTATCACCAGCATTGGACAAGGTTATTAAGAATTCCGCATGGCGCAAGCACAGTAAGCTGGCGCAGGAGGCCAAAGCCGCGATTGAGAAACTGGGTGCGAATAGCTTAGAAGCTGCCGCGACTGCGTTCGAGAGTCCTTTGTATGAGGATAATAGCTTGTGTTATAGTGCAGCTAATGCGGAGTTGATCCTGCAGCCTTTGATCGGGGCTTGTGAAACTGCGTATCCTAAGGTTGTGGAACCGGCCTTGGATTGTCTTCAGAAGCTGATTGCGCATGGACACTTGCGGGGTGAAATGGATACTCTGACGCCTGATAACAAACTTTTATTGGAGGTGCGTTTTCCTTCTCCCTTCCTCCAGCAGGTTGAGTTGTGTAGTCTACGAATAGGCAGTCTTCTTGGACGACTGTGCTGTGCCGTTCGGTTCAATGCAGGAATTGAAATAAAATCTTTGTGCCCTTGCAAGATAATTCCTATTTTGATATGCCGCAAATTCTAATCGTTCTCAATCGTGACCAATACTACCTGTCTTCTCCTTTTGCGAGTCTTGTTCATGTCTAAGTTCAGCTGTGTACGGCACTGAGTGGCAACATGCTGAATGTAAAACATGTTGAGGCCCCTGTATTTGTTATTTCACTCGCATTTGGGAATGTTGTAGAATTTTGAGGAAACAAACGGGATGGCATGCGCAGGTCATGGAAGGAGTGTGTAAGTGTTACGATATGGCAGAGGATGGCATTGAATTGCTGGTTATGAAAACTCTGCTCTCCGCGGTGACTTCCACCTCATTGCGAGTGCATGGGGATAGCTTGTTAAAAGCAGTCCGTACTTGCTATAACATATATTTGGGCAGCAAGTCTCCGGTGAATCAAAGTACAGCAAAAGCATCCCTCACGCAAATGTTAGTGATAGTATTCCAGAGAATGGAAGCAGATTCATCCAATGTGATGGTGCAGCCAATCGTTGTAGCAGACCTTATGGAGCCAGCTGAGCGGTCAAATACAGATACAAATGTCACGCAGTTTGTCCAGGGCTTTATTACCAAAGTTGTTCAGGATATTGAAGGCGTGATAAGTCCAGTCCCAGCTTTAAAGTCCATGAAATCAATGAAATATGACGGCGCGTTTGATACAGCCACAGGCGCAGACAGCAGTAGCTCGAATGATGTTTTAGAATCCACTGACAAAGACATGTTAGAGGCCAGATACTGGGAGCTCAATATGTACAAGACTGCGCTTGATAAAAATAAGAAAGGCGTGGAATTGGCTGATTCAGAGGTAGATAAAGACGGGGATGCAGATGTTCAGATTAACAATAAATTACGCAGGGACGCCTTCTTGGTATTTAGGGCGCTTTGTAAGCTCTCCATGAAGAATGCCCCTCAAGAAGGCCTCGCTGACCCGTTTGCCATTCGTGGGAAGATCGTAGCATTGGAGCTCCTTAAGATTATGTTGGAAAATGCTGGAACAGTTTTTCGAACCAGCGACAGGTACAAGCATTCTCCGGGCTCTTCATCCGAAGAGCAGATTTGTAATGTTAATATTGGATTGGAATTCAGCGCGTTCGAGGCATATATAGGTTAGGATGCTTGACAATCTAGTGTTCAAAGAAAATCTCACGATAACTAGCTTGCAAGCCATCTAAAGAATACCTGGCTCATACACCGAAATTAAGTTTAAGGCTCACACAATCCAATGAGGCAGATTGTTAAGGATTACGTACAACAGCCTGGAATCTACAGCTGGCTTAGAATCCGATGTTTATGGTGTTATTCTTGTCTATAGTGGTTGGCTTTGTGATCGAGCACAACCTTGCCACTGATTTTAGGTTAGCAAAATGCGAGCCTATGTTTTGTGCAGAATCATGAAATTTGGCAATTGAATACCCTGAAAAAACCTGAAAATGAGCACCCAATTTTTCTTGTAATTTGAAGAGGAACTACTAACAGTTCTTTCCGAGAGGAGAACGGTAATTTCATTGCTTGTTTCTGCTATTTTGAGATACCTTGCTATCAGTAGATGGTTGTGAATGTTTATCATGATTTATTGACAACTTATGATTGATTAATGCAGGTTTTTGGGAGCCATTAAGCAATACCTTTGTCTTTCGCTATTGAAAAATAGTGCATCATCGATGATGAATGTTTTCCAGCTCTCTTGTTCTATTTTTATGAGCCTAGTTTCTAGATTTAGGGCTGGTCTCAAGGCAGAAATTGGAGTCTTTTTCCCCATGATCGTACTTCGAGTACTGGAAAATGTCGCGCACCCCAATTTTTCTCAGAAAACGATAGTACTACGCTTTTTGGAAAAGCTTTGCGTGGATCCACAAATTTTGGTGGATATTTTTGTCAATTATGACTGTGACGTAGATTCGTCTAACATTTTTGAAAGGCAAGTTCATATTCGCTCTTCTTGTTCTCATAATGTTTTTGGTTTTCTTTCTAGATCTTATTGTTCTCGCTGTGCTCCTTTTATGCATGAGGAAGCTAAGGCAATCTTGAAGATACCAGCCGTATGGAGATTGATCGTCAACTTGATTAAGATGTGCAGGATGGTCAATGGTCTGCTGAAGACTGCGCAAGGTGTACCTAATGGTGCAGAGACCAGCTTGAACCCTGTCCAGGATGCGGCCTTTAAGTTAGCAGCTATCAAGTGCTTGGTTGGGGTTTTACGGTCCATGGGGAATTGGTTAAATCGTCAATTGCGGCTTACAGATTCTTCCCCATATATAAAATCCAACGATGGTGAAGAAAACATAAGTGAGGTTGTTGACACTGCTTCGATTCCAGCAGCTCCAACAGCTCCAGGAACTGAAAATGGGGAGGTCAATGGTGAGAAAGCTAGCGACAAGAATGGTGAGAAAAACGGGGAAACCACCAGTACCTCTGAAAGTCGTGCAGCTGAGGAGACATCAGAAGCAGCCACCTTTGAGCAACGACGTGCTCACAAGTTAGAAGTCCAGGTGCTGGTCAACCTGAACAATCAAACCTAATGTGATTTATACTTGCGCGTGTTTTTGGAATAAAAATGACTAAAGAGTAGACGATGTATTTGATTTGCAGGAAGGCATTGCATTGTTCAACAAGAAGCCTCGTAAGGGTATTGAATTTCTCATGAAAGTCCATAAAGTTGGAGAAACTCCTGAGGAAGTGGCTAAGTTTCTCCGGGACGGCACTGGCTTGGATAAAGCTATGATTGGAGATTATCTTGGAGAAAAGGAAGACTTTTCTCTCAAAGTGATGCACGCTTACGTGGACTCTTTTCATTTTCAAGGGATGGAGTTTGATGAAGCCATCAGAGCATTTTTGTTGGGATTCAGATTACCTGGAGAGGCTCAGAAAATTGATAGAATCATGGAAAAATTCGCCGAGAGATTCACAAAATGCAATCCGAAGGCATTCAGCAGTGCAGATACAGCTTACGTTCTTGCTTACTCTGTGATCATGCTCAATACTGATGCTCACAACCCCATGGTCAAGACCAAGGTCAGTGATCTGTTGCAATTTCACACTGCGTTCAAGTGTGCATATTTTTGCTCTGAGTTCTGCTGATCCTAGACTTTTACGATATACTTTGGCCTTTTCCGATTTTCATAATCTTTTGTATAATTACGTTAAGTTTGGTTCGTAAAACCTGCTTGATTGCCCATTAAGCACTCACTTTCAACGTTACAAACTACTACGTAAGGATTGGTATTTTGCAACTTACCTGCCATATTGTGTACTTGTCAGATGTCCAAGGCAGAGTTCATTCGCAATAACCGCGGGATTGATGATGGTCGGGACATTCCAGAGGACTTTATGAGTAGTTTGTATGATCGAATAGTATCCAATGAAATCAAAATGAAGGCAGATGCTTTGGCTCCTAGTAAGCAGCAGCCTGCTAATTTGAACAGGATGCTAGGGTTAGATGCCATCCTAAATATTGTTGTGCGGAAGCCTCGCGAGGATTCTAAGATCATGGAGACAAGTGATGATGTCATTCGTCATATGCAGGAGCAGTTTAAAGCCAAGGCTGGGAAATCGGAGTAAGATTTTTTTTTTTCTATAAGTAGAAAAATTAGATTTATTTGCTTACACCAGCGTTAAATCGTTTATTTCATTATTGTTCGAGGATGTTGGAAATTGCCTATCGTATGCATGCGTTCACATTGGTGCTGTGCTCCTATTAGCAACTTGAGGTTGGATTGATGGGGTAATAATTGTTGTATGGTGTAGGATTATTTGTGTGATCATGAAGATACGTAATGAGGTAGTGAAAATGACTGAATACTCTCAAGAATATTTACACGATGTTCCTTGCAGGTCGATATATTATGCCGCATCAGATGTAGAGCTATTAAGGCCCATGGTTGATGTTTCATGGGCTCCCATGCTAGTGGCATTCAGTGTGCCGCTGGACAAAAGTGAAGATGAGGTTGTTACTTTCCAATGTCTCGAGGGCTTCCGTCATGCAGTTCACATTACAGCCGTATTGTGTATGCGAACACAGCGTGACGCATTCCTTACGTCCCTTGCAAAGTTTACATCACTTCATTCTGCTGCAGATATCAAGCAAAAGAATATTGACGCTATCAAGGTATTGACGCTTTTATGGTCCTGGCTATGTTATTTACAAACGTTTTATTTGAATACGCGACCTCCAAATGTACAGTTGAAGGATCTCAGTTGCTTTATGTACATTTTTGCTACACGAGAATTTATGAGGTTCTCTAATATCCACTGTTACATCACAGGCAATTATTTCAATCGCAGATGAAGACGGGAACTACTTACAGGATGCTTGGGAGCATATTTTGACCTGTGTTTCGCGCTTCGAGCATCTTCATCTTATTGGTGAGGGTGCGCCGCCAGATGCTACCTTCTTCGCTGCCCCTCAGAATGAATTAGATCGACGGCAGTCTGTCAAGGGTCCAGTTTTGCCAGTACTGAGGAGAAAACCACTAGGGAAGTTGCAGTACGCTGCTGCTGCAGCTCGGAGGGGTTCTTACGATAGCGCTGGCGTTGGAGGTGGCTCTGCTGGAGTTGTTACCACAGAGCAAATGAACAATCTTGTTTCAAACTTGAATATGTTGGAGCAAATTGGTAGCTTTGAGGTGAATAAGATCTTTAGTCGAAGTCAGAGGTTGAATAGTGAAGCGATTGTGGACTTTGTAAAGGCTTTGTGCAAAGTATCAATGGAGGAATTGCGATCCCCAAGTGACCCTCGGGTATTCAGCTTGACCAAAATTGTGGAGATATCGTAAGTGATTCACTCTTCATTATTGTTTCAGTTTTATGAACAGTGCATTTTTTTTTGTTTATTTTCCTGTGGATGTGGTTGTGCAGTTTTAGTTTGTGTCACTTTGTGAGTGTTGCTCATGACTTGCGATATATCTGTTCGGGACTTTTAAGTTAATAGTCATTGGTTGTGGTTTCGATTATAATAAATTATGAAACTTGCAACTACATTGTAAGGGTGCTTATTGTGACGATTGAATAACTATCAATGGCTAAAATCTAGACAATGACACCATTAAGGTATTTAACACTATTAATATGCAGGCATTTCAACATGACTCGTATTAGGCTGGTTTGGTCAAAGATGTGGAGTGTATTGGCCAACTACTTTGTAACAGTCGGCTGTTCAGACAACCTGTCTGTTGCAATGTATGCGATGGATTCGCTGCGGCAGCTTGCCATGAAGTTCCTAGACCGTGACGAGCTTGCAAATTTCAACTTTCAGAATGAATTTATGAAGCCTTTCGTGATTGTCATGCGTAAAAGCAGCTCTGTTGAAATTCGAGAGCTGATAATCCGATGTGTTTCTCAAATGGTCTTTGCACGTGTGGGGAATGTCAAATCTGGCTGGAAAATCATGTTCATGGTATGAATTCTACCATTCGGACTTTTCTTCATCATTTTGTATACTCAACTGTATGTTCCTGGTACTTTTTGGGAGGATGTGACTGATAATTGTCGTCCTGGATAGTTTAACGATTTTACTTCGTCCTTATTAATGCACTGATGTAATATTTTGAAGGGGTCTTGAACGCTTAATTTTTTTTATTAATAATAAAAATACTCGTGTTATTATAACATTTGTGTAGATGATGAGGTCGTTCATGCCATCCTTCTGTTGTGATTAATGATGGCATGTATGCAGGTCTTCACTACAGCAGCTACAGACGAGCATAAGTCCATTGTTCTGCTCGCATTTGAGACAATTGAAAAAATTGTTCGTGAGTATTTCCCTTACATAACCGAAACAGAGACGACCACATTCACAGACTGCGTGAACTGTCTCATAGCATTTACCAACACCAGGTTTAATCAAGATGTTAGCTTGAATGCCATAGCTTTTCTTCGGTTCTGTGCCCTCAAGCTTGCTGAAGGAGAGCTTGGTGCTGCTGCACGAAGTAAAGTAGGAGACAATGAGTCTCCTACCTTTACAGACAAAGATGATCACGTCTACTTTTGGTTCCCTCTTCTCGCAGGTAGGTCGGAATTTGACTTGTTCATGGGGCTATTTTGAGATTCTAGAAACTCAGTCTAGTTTTGATATTCTAATGAGTGATTTCACTTGATCTTTGCTAATCTGGTGCGTGAAGTATAACAAGTTTTAGTTTTGGTTTCCTCTTAGTCGATTTATAAATCTCTTAACTTCGTTAATGGTTTCTAGCAAATAGACTAGAGCTGCATGGTAGTGCTTTTACTTCTCCTTATTTGTTTGTTCATAATAGACATATCATTTGTTATAGGGTTGTCGGAGCTCACTTTTGATCCCCGACCTGACATACGAAAAAGTGCACTTGAAGTGCTTTTTGATACTCTACGCTTTCACGGAGATAAGTTTTCAGCTGGCTTGTGGGAGAAAGTGTTCGACTCCGTCCTGTTTCCTATATTCGACTCTGTTCGTCGTGCCACAGACGCAGCTCACAATGGTGAAACTGAAAAAGAACAAGAAGAATTGGAGATGGATGCATGGCTTTACGAGACTTGTACATTGGCTCTGCAGCTTGTGGTAGACTTGTTTGTTAAGTTCTATACTGTTGTCAACCCCCTCCTGGCCAAGGTTTTGTCGTTATTAACTGGGTTCATCAAACGCCCCCACCAAAGCTTAGCAGCCATTGGTGTGGCTGCCTTTGTACGACTGATGAGAAATTGTGGAACACTTTTCTCAGACGAAAAGTGGGAAGAAGTTCTCAAAAGTCTGCATGAAGCTGCAGTGGAAACTCTTCCTGACCTTGCCCATCTTGTAGTGATTGCTCAAGACGAACAGGGAAATCACATGGCTAGAAATTCAGTCTCATCTCGCGCTGAAAGTCAGGATGGACATGAGCCTTCAATGGCTTTGCATAATCTCATTCAAGATGTGAAGTGCCGAACAGCTGTGCAATTACTGCTTGTGCAGGTTCGTCCCCTACTCTTGGTAGTTATCTGCATTTTAGTATCGAACTCTCCCTTGAAATGCAGTTGAGGTACAGTTTTAGACACACTGCACATTGATTCAGGCCATTCATCCATGCTATGTTTCGTCCCTCCTTGATCAGACCTAAAACTGCAGTTCAGTATTTAACCGAAAATTATCGAATAGTGTGTTACTCGCAGATCGCCACAGTTGGTGTCAAGTCTCATGAACTATTGAATGTATATCCTTGGGTCGCAATTGAGATAGATTGCAAGTCGTACAATCTACCTCATTTAATTGATCAAAGAAGTCAGTCTATAGTTCTTATTCTTACGTTGTGGAATTTTGTCATATCAGGCTATGACAGAGATTTACAATTCTCATGGGGAACATCTTTCAGCTGCCAACACAATGCAGTTACTCGACACACTCCACACAGTAGCAGTTCATGCACATAAGGTGAATGGTGACCATGCTCTTCGTCAACAACTTCAAGAGCTCCGCCTTATGCCAGATCCCCCATTGCTACGTCTTGAGAGCGAGGCATACCAAGCATACCTTGCCATGTTGCAGCACTTGCCTATGGATAAGCCCAGTTTAGCTAAAGACGTGGAGGTAGAAACCAGATTGATTGAGCTTTGTGAAGAAGTACTACGGCTTTACATCGCCATCTCTACTTCCACTGATGAATCTATTCAGAAGCCACGGTGGGTGGTTCCTCTTGGATCCTCGAGGAGGCGGGAGTTGGTGTCACGTGCCCCACTAGTAGTTGCAACATTGCAGGCCGTCAGTGGTTTGAAGGATGCATCATTTGAGCAATACTTGGTGCGTTTCTTCCCTCTGTTGGCAGGGTTGATCAGCTGTGAACATGGTTCAGGGGAGGTACAGTTAGCATTGAGTGACATGTTTAGCAATTGGATTGGCCCCATCCTTTTGCAAGCACAATTGTAAGGATACACTTCCCGTTTCACTAGTGTGACGTCAGGATTTTTTTCGCTCTAGTGTAAGATTTGAGTCGATTCCACAGGTAGAGTTTAGCTAGGCAGAGAGATTCTGTAGTCGGCAACCTTGTATTGGCCACAGTAGCATTTGTAGTCATTGCTGGAATTCAACGATTCATACCCAGAAAATTTAGTCATCCGATTTTTCTTCTAAATTATGTGTGTTTTTGTTTTGTCTACATGTATCATAACTTTAATTGTTACTCTCGAGTATACTGATGTAGATACAGGGGTATCAAGAGTCCATCTGTAGACCGGGCAGTGGGGATGAAAATGTGAAATCATTATCATCCATTCATAGAGCAAGGTAAGTCCAAAATCTCTCAAGGTGTTTACAATTGCACCAAAAAAGATTGCTATGCATTGGCTACATACTGTTTTTAAATATTTAGACAAACTAAAAATTGGAGGATTTGAAGAGCAAGGATTAGAACTTCTTTATCCAACATAAGTTAAGGGGAATGTAAAATAGACCTGTATTTTCACAAAATTAACCCACCCTTGATGAAGAATATGGTACTCATAAAGAATGTGGTTGGTTTTCATTGGTTGCAAACCTAATAGTGGAGAAATAAATCTAGAGGTCGTTTATTTTTTTTTATGATGGTTAGGATGGATGGGTTGATTTAGTAAAAACTTGGGTCTTTTTAACATTCTCTTAAGTTAATTTGGTTTTGTTTAAGCCACCATCAAATCAAAGCTAACAAAAACTAAATTAAGAATAATTTGATTATACCAAATCAAATTAAACCATGGAATTCTAAATCAAATCAAATCAAACTATGGAATTTTAAATCATATGAAATCAAATCAATCCAATTAAATCAAATTTTCTATGATAGAAGTTATTTGTCAAAAGCATGAATATAGACAAAACTTATAAAAAATGTTACATTTATTTTTTATTAAAAAGAAAAAAAGTAAATTGAGAAGAAATAGATATAAGATAAAAAAGAATTAAAATGGCTATTGCTAAATACAAAGAAACAAAAGAATTAAAAAAAAAAGCTGTTAAAATAAAAAAGACATTGATAAAATTGAAGATGGCATCATTCTTACTTCTATGTACTCTAACTTCTAAAAAGGTCTTATGAAAGCTTTCTAAAAACTATGAAGGTTGTACTCTAAGTGTCAAGTTAGAAGTTGCTTCTAATGCAACTTCTTAAATGTAAAAAACTCATAAGACAAGTTTAAATAAACACATGACAAATTTAAAGAAATCTAAAGATTTAATTTGCATTTGGAAAACTTCATTGAAGCTTTGTAAAGAAGATATCATATACCTAATATATATTTTACATACTTTTATTTATTTCCATTTATTCAAATAATATGTGCATTTGATATATTATCCCCTTTCTTTTGTTGATTTTCTATCTTATAAAAAGTATTCAAGAGTTGATTGTTGAACTTATTTCTTTTTTTTTATACCATCTTATTATCCATGCTTAGCCATTAGTTTTGATAGATGTTATCAATAAAAGTAAGAACAAATTTTAACTTATTTGTGAGATTCTCACATGATTTATATGTACTCTTACTAATAGCATGTTCACACCAATATACAAAATATTTGAGTTTATTTTGACAATGCCTTAAATCTAAGACATCTTTCATTTTACACTCTTGGTTGTTGTCTATCATAGCAAGAGGTGGTGGTAATTGCTTCTTTTTTGATATGCTAATTATAGTGTAAGATTCAATGAGAAATACATAAAATATAAGATGAATCTTCATGACCATAGTAATTGCAATTGATAAACAATTGATATGCAATTGAATTAATTTTCTTTTGATAATAAATGAGCAAAGTCTTCGATAATCTAAATTATTATAAGATTTATTGTTCTTAATATTATAAAAAAATAATGATACCTTGACACTAATTTTGATTTTTTTTTTGATTTTTTTTTTGATTTTGATTTTTTTTTTTTTTCCAAAAACATCTATATTGACTTTTTGTTGCTCTTAAGCTTCTTTTAGTATGTCTTTATTATTAGGTGAAACTATATTATTTTACTTATCAAATTCTTTAATGATATATTTTTAATTTTAAAAAAATAAATAATACCAAATTATAGATAATAACTATAATTAGTAATTATTTTTGTTCATTGAGTAGAAATACATAAAATATTATTATGTGAAAATTTTGCTAATGCTAAAAAAGTTGTCAAATTATTTTGGTGATATAAATGAGACATTTTAAATATTATTCTATTACTTTATTCACATGATTAGTTTGTCTATTAGTTTAAAAATAAAAAAATAAAGATAATTTTATGTCAATTTTAAGTATATTAATAAATATCATATAAAAACTTGATATAAACTAGAATCTTTAATTAAGTATAGTTTATGTTAGAAGTCTCTAGTATCAATAAATATAATCAAAGAAAAAATTAATAATTTTTTAGATATGATAAAATTTTTATAATATTAATTATATGCAACATTTCTCTCTTTTGGTACTAAATAAGAGTTTTCAGATATGATATCTAAAAAGACTTATTTTTTTCTAGAGAAATATATAATATTAAGTACAAATTGTAATAATTATAGTCTACCATTTATAAAGAAAGATAAGCTTTGAAATTATGTATAATAATATTGATAAATCAACAAGGATATAAATCTAGAGAAAAAATTGAATGCATTCATATATCATTAAAAAAAAATAAAAAAATAAAAAAAATAGAGAAGAAATAAATATAAGATAAAAAATAACTAATATGACTATTGTCAAATTTAAAGAAACTAAAGAGACTTGAACTGAGACTAGAATACAAGAAAGGTATTGACAAGACTAAGGATGATTTTATTCTTGTGTCTACATACATTAAGTGCAAAGAAGATCTTTTAGAAGCATCCTAAAGACCATAAGGCTTATAGTCCAAACATCAAGTTGTATATTTTTTCTAACTCGAATTTCTAAAAATTATAAACTTATAGAATAAGTTTTAAGAGCCACTTGACATATTTAGATATATTTATATTTATATAAGTAGTATAGGCAATTTCCTAATGTTGATAGAAATGAAATGGATATAAATTCATACCATTATTTGTATCCTTATGCAATAATTACATTTATGAACATTCTAAAAATTAAATTTATAATTTTATTTATTTATAAATAAGGAATGCAATAATATCATCTTATATAGTCTAAATATTAAGATCATCATGGTCTATTTCTACTAACTTCACAAGGTATGCTCTATGGATATTGATTGGAGTTTGAATTTTAAGCTATTCAAAAAGTAATTCTAGTAAAATGTGACAAGTAATCTTTGGTCATAATATTATTATAGCTTAGAAATTGTGTATTCTATCACTTTTGGCCCTCTTAAATATAATTGACATAATATAGTTGCTTCAATAATATATTGTGGTTTAAAAAATCATGAGATATATCTCATACCAATCCATCTAAAATCGTAATGATGTCAATTTCTCAACTTAGTAGATTCTTTATGATAGCATTGATTTAAACCTTTATTTGATTAGCAATGGTTGCTTAATGTAACTTTTTAGTTGCAATAGTGGAAAACCTAGAGCATATATCTTTTTCATAAAAGATATTAGACATTCTACAATATAATCAGCAACATGTGCATTTTTATTTAAATTACTATTAGTAAAAAAAAAATGAAGATTCTCAATCAGGTCAATTGTTCATTTAATGCCATTAAAGTTCTTAGTGCTTAGTTGGTTTAATATAAAAACAATACGTGATAGATTTTATTCAAGATAAAATATCATATTGTCAATAACAACAGAACATTAGAAGTATTACTACTTTTAAAACATAGTCTTCAATGGCTTTGGTGAATGTAACCTTGTAACATTGCCTAGTTACATTGTTAGCTATAATGACACATATTTATATTCAATTTTTTAATTTTAATTTTAATTTTAATTTTAATTTTTGTTATTAGTGTGTCATTCATATTTCAAATGTTTTCCATCTTTTTCAATCATAATAGCCATGCTAATTGTCTAAATTTTTAATGTACCAATAATAGCTAATTTTGGTATTTCATATCAAATAGTGATCAATATTTTTTTTAATGTGAAAAATTTAAATTATACCTCATTGGTAAACTAATACATCTCTATTTACTAGGATAAAATTTTAAATAAAGAGACGCACTAGAAAATTCATCTCAATTTGTTAACACAAATTTTTCACAACAATTGACAAAGTTTATCAAATTGAGTAGTTATAAATTTGAAGTTTTTTTTAATATCTAACTACCATTTATATATTGTACAAGAAATTAGGTGACTACATTTTACAATAAAATTATCATTTCTATTAAGCTAAGATAAGATATGTGAACAATAGCAAGTGTATTAAAGCCATAATTATTTATAATTGCAACTAATTTATTACATAGGCCAAAAAATTCTATAAACTTAATTAAAATTGTTCCTAATTATATCTTTATTAAGGATTATAGATAAAAAGTCTAAAACACATTATAATAAAATAATTTTATTAATATAAATTGAATGAAATATAATATTATATAGTCCTATAAGGAATGGATTAGACCACCCTTTCCATGTTACATTTAATTATAATGTAATAGATTGAAGGTATTCTACTAACATTAATCAAAAATAAAAATATATTTTTGAAATTCCTTGTTTTATTGATTGCAAATAATTTGGAAAACTCTTGATGCATAAAGTAGAGATAAGCTTACAAAATGCAATATCTTCTTATAAAAATTGAGATTTTATGCATTTGATGATAGATTTTAGAACTAGATTATACTTATTAATCAACTTTGCAAGATTTTAAAAAATATATATTATCTAATAACAACTATATTAAAATGTTTGGACCAACTATTATATCCATTACATTAGTATGTTGGTGAAGATTTTTATCAATTAAATTACGTTTGATAAAGAAATGGATAAGTGGATTTATTTTAAAAAAAATTCAATAAGAGGATTATTTTCGTTGTTTTATTCATATTCATGTCTTTTTTTTCAAAAGCAAAAAGAAAAAAGAAAAAAGAAATCAACCAAATTTTACAAAAAAACAACAACAAAAAAAAAAAAACAAAAACAAAAACAAAACAAAGATAAGAGAATTAGATAGAATAGTTTTAAAATCACATAGATAAAATGTGGATGCATGGAAGTGAAGAATAAGATAATTCCGTTCACAATGGAATGAGGTTCATATGTTAGCAGCAAGAAAAACAAAACCTCTAAGAAAATAGAATATAAGCCAAGTATATATTTGCTCAACCCTCAACACAAAGCCAATGGTATTGCAAAATAAAATTCAAATTCAGGTTAACCATGTTCTAAAACAATACATAGATGGGACAACAGAAAAGCGCACTAACACATTATGCTTGTGTGATCCTGGTCAATGTTAAATGTAATTCTACCAAGTACTTGTAAGTTGATTCCAACTGTATCAAGACATTCAATAAACTGTTACACTATATTCACCCTCACACTTGTGTGAATGCTCCAAGAGATGTCTATAAAATCACCCACAAGTTATATGTCCACACGCATCTGCATGTTTCAGCAAATTATTTACAGTCTCAGTCTGATTGTAGACTGGCGATGAATGGCTAGTGAATGTCAGCTCTTCTCCAAGCCACAATCCACAAATTGACCTGTAGATTCTGAAAAGCCTCCATCAAAGAGTGATATGGTTCTCATGTGCCATATAGCTCTGAAAGTATCAAGGTCAAGTATCTGACCCCAAGCGCTCATTAAATAAACCTGTGTCTAAAACCTACATAATGTCGGGGCAGTTTTCCCAGGCTCGCTGGTCATGAGCATCCCAATAGGTTCCCTTATAAACCCATGATGGCTCCGAATTTTCAATTTCAATCGACTTCACTTCGGACACTCCAGGGTCCCTCTGAAAAACACAACGTAAATCTACTTTAAATAATGATGAGGTCATGAAAGGATGACGCTTTATGCTGTAAAGCTTCATCTTGTAATCTCCTATCCTTTTCATTGACTCAATCATTAATCAGCACATACTTGACCAATACTTGAGCAACATTAGCATTTTCCCGAGCAGATGGAACACAAACAGGACAACTAAAGGCAACTTAAGTATTGAAACCTTGATGACATAAAATGTGATATTTTGAGCAGTGATACGGATCTTTGAAACTCTTGGAGTAAGTCAAAGAAGTTTAGAAGGCACCTGAGTAAACCACATATTCTGCCATTCTATTCCTTTCTCTTTTCGCACTCTTCGAGCACTCCTTTGCTTCTCTTCCAAACGCAGCTTCTCTGGAGTAGCTTTCTCCAAATTGCCATCCTCCTGAGAGAAGGAAAGTCATGTAGTGCATCGATATGCTTGAGAACAAAACAAATTGAAGGCTCCATCCGATAATATTAGAAATAAGTTCAATATGCTCAATTCTGGTGAACCTGAACAAATCACACTTACCAGAGCACGTTGATCAGGCCGGAACCTTGAATCAGTAGGAGGGAGTGCATTCAATAACTTTGGTGTCAACTCTGCAATCCAAAATAGCATCAATGTATTAATAGCTATAAAACTATTAGAAGCGGAGAGACGCATAATTGTGATATTGACTGAAGAATAATTGAATTTTACTGTAAAAAACAACCGATAAATTTACATGGACTTTATTTTAAATATTGGAGGAAAAAAAAAAAAAAAAACAAACAAACAAACAAACAAAACAAAACAAAAAACAAAGGGTGGAGGAAGGTTGATGCTCGAATTTTATATCAACAAATCATATCCTAAACCTCGTGGAAACCTCAATATGCGTATCCAAACTCACCATTCAAACCTAGCGTATATTGGGTGAAGCAGTATTGCTGACGGAAATCTTCAATTTGCTCAGGTGCTTTCCAAAGCAGTCTCACATCCGGAGCATTGACATCGAAGTTCATACATGACTCTGGACAAGCATATATTGCTTCCATGTAATTACCAAAAATTTTATACTGAGGAATCCCTTTGGCATCATACATCTGTCAACGCACAACCAGAAAAATTACAAACTCCATCAATTTCAAGTTTCTGGCGAAGAGAATTAAGTCTTGATATTAAATTTGGTTTTTTAAAGGTATGCTTGAAATCAGACAAGTCCACAAAAAAAAAAAAAAAAAAAAAAAAAAAATCGTAAATGGAACAGGACTATCCTCTCAACAATGCAAATGAATTCAAATCAGGGATTTATATGTGTACACAGAACAACCTTCCCAGTGATGCGGCATTGCTCTCTGCTAGTTGCTTTGTGAAAGCGAACACGACCGACTTCGCTAGTCTTGTGATTTACCACAGAAACCTCCCCATAATTGTCGATCCAACATTTACCAACCACAACATTATGGATACAAAGAGTTGCTCGGTTCCACGTAATATGGTCTCCATACTGAGGAATTTTTAAATGGACTCCTCCATTGCACAGCACCTGCCAGGACGTACTCGTGTTATTGCTCTGGTGACATCGTACACATTTTGAGGTGATAATAATGATAGATGATGATGGACTAACCTCTATGCTTTTCCCCCAAAATTTGTTCTTGAGCTCGATCTCACCAAAAAGTTGATATGCACCACCGACGTTTTCACTTTGGAAGGCGAGTATGGGCGGATGATGACTAACCTGCATAGGTGAAATCAACCATTAAAAGCGCACAAATTTATTCCTAGGATTGATAATGGACAAAAGCTTTGAGTGTAGAGAGCTGTGGTGATGCAGTGTGCATAAATTCAAGTGAAATTTGATCATCAGATAATTGATTTCGTCAGGTTCATGACAGGCACAAAGTTGTTCCACAGAATAGTGAAACCCTGTAATTCCCTCAAAATTAAGAAATCCCTGTGTGAAGTTGATAATAATAAGATTCCGGACACAATCGCACCTGCTCAGCCAGAAACCAAGAATTTTTGCCCTGATACTCATAAGTTTCCCCCAACAGAGGATTGAAAGGTTTTGCATCACGATGAATGCTGCCATAATAGCTCGCACAGGTGAATGCAGTGGCCAAAAGTAAGCGCTCCAAAGAGTCCGTCTTCCGAACTGCCTGCTCCAATAAGTCTCTGGGGAAAACAAAACATGCATATCAAAAACTAAGCTTTATACAACCAGTAAAAATGAATTAACAAGTACTAAAAAGCTCAAAATAAACTTATTAATAAACATCCTTTTGGCATTATAGAATACCATGAAACGCATCAATAGTTTTTGCAGATACGACTATCAAGTTACTGAGTTGAGTTCAGCGGCCTTCACAGACAAGCTGTACCACAAAGAATGAAAAGCAACAAAGTGAATGTGTTTACCGATATTGAAGTTCTTCAGCACACTTCTGAAGTACTGAGAGAGGCTCATTGATGGTGGCAGGCATTGTGATGTTGTTAAGATCCCTGCCAACTGCATTCTTCAATATTGTCCACATAGTAAAACCTCGTGAAAGAGGTCTAGGAGCTGGCAATCTGAAAGCACAGTTGTTAAAGGAATAGTGAGACAATTGATGTCACCAGAAACGCAGGCTTTATAAATTTCCTGAAATTTTCGAAAGTTCTCCATTGTTTCCTTCCAAACCCTGCACTTGATTTCTTCGGGATTCTTCGTCACATTTTCCCATACGTAAACTCTCCGTTTTCTTATGTTTTCCTCCGTTTTAGTGTGCATTCTCTTGCATTTTTTCCCGCGTTGTTCTACTAGTGATTTGTTTTCTCTGTGACAATGAAGGCAATGCTAAAAGGAGAACTTACATACGCAGCAAGTTTTCCAAAATAAGAGTATGAATCAAACCCATATGGGGTCTACTTTAATATGATTTCATAATCGCGTATCACACCTTCTTCTCGGTTGATCAATTTCTTCTCCTTCAGCTTCTGACAGAAAATCAGCATCCCCTATCTCAGCTTCTTCACTGGGTTCTTGTTTGGATGCCTTAAGTAAATTTTCATGTTCTTCTGTTGAAGTTGACCTAGCAACGAATTCGTGATGATTCAAGACCTCCAACGCCTCAAAATACTCCTGTCAAATAGAAAATACACGCCTAAAATTTAATGGTGAAAGACATTGTTTCACGCTTTAGTATACCCTGCTATGACCTACGACTACATCAGTAAGTCAGATTATGGATCGTTCTACATAGTGATGCTCACATCACAATAAATTAAGCCAGGGCCACAATCTGGACGTGTAACATTGATTAAATGTGCAACAGTGAAGGCTGACAAAGCAACGTGGAGGTACTTCTACGTCTCGAATTTAAAAATTCAAGTAAAAGTCACTTTAGAGGTTTCCAATGACAACGACAAGGATAAATCATAAAGTTTAGCACAATACAACAGAAATGGCCTCTCCCGGTTCTTATTCATACCTCATTTCCAACATCAGGATGCACTATAGCAATGTCCTCTTCAGTATCGTCTCCGTCTTCCAAGACTGAGTCTTCATAAGCAATTTTGCGACCGCATTCACAAAGCCTCTCCTTCTGCATGAGGACCAGCAGTACAAGAGGTTTAATTATAGGGGAACTTTCCAACAATACAATGCACCGCTACAAGCAACAGGTACAATCGCTTTTCTCCAATAAATTGCCTACTTAATGACTTTTCACGTGTGAAATGTCGTCTTTCTGAAGTACACTAACAAAACAAATTGCAACCAGAACTTCAACACCTCAAAGGTTGAAAGGACTTAGCACATGAACAATGCAGGGCAATTCAGCAGAACCATCAACAGCGTTTCACTCACTTTGTATCTTTCTCTCATGCTCAAAAGAGCTGCTCGATCTTGCTGTAGTTGAGGCAAGGTTCTCAATGCATGTTGTAAGACAGCATTCTCTGCTTCAAGTTCGAGCACTCGGAATATCTCTTCTTTCAAAGCCTAAAATCATCAAAATAGTCCATTATCTATGAAGTTTCGCTGCATCATAATCGAATACAACGTCTCATAAAGAGCCAATAGCATTCAGATAAAGATAAATGGCACGGTGAATCCAGAACAAAGTTTGGATATGCATCAAACAATGAAAATCAGGGTCCTAAGCTGTGTAGTCTGTGAGGTTTCTGAAAGTCGCAGCAGTTTACCTCACTGTAAGTATCTTGCATGTTGTTCCAAGCGACATGAAGAGGCCCTTGACTAAATAGTCCATTTCTTGCAGGTCGTGTCGATCCTTCTCCATCCATCGCTTTCGATTGCCCTGTCCCTGACAAACCTTCCTTACTTCCATGATTTGAGGCCTCACCTACTGTACAAGTTGCTCCATATGAAGACCCATTGATTTCTTTGTTTTGTACGAAGAGGTCCTTCTCTATCTTCTTCGTTAGACTTGAGTCAAGTTCCTGACTGGAAGTAGGAGTAATAACAGAGGTGGAATCCCCATTCCTCTTCCACGGATGCAAGGGACTATTGAACTTGATAGATTTTTTCTTGGACCCAGACTCAGTGTCTGATGCATTCCCATGACCACTGCGTTTTCTCCCCGGGAAACACTCAGCTCGAATGCAACTAATATCCAGAGTCGAAGAATCAAAATCATCCTCATCCAGTGACATAGACGAATTCCGCCTATCCCTTTTAAATTTATGTTCACCTGGAAAAGTAACAGTGTGCACCGATTTTTGAGGCCTGTTGAGATAAAAACGCAGCGAGTTGTTAGCAGATGAAACTGAAAGATTTCACAGCGAGATTAAATATATCACAGTGTAAACGCCAATTAAATGATTTGGGCACATTTGTTACTATTACTTAAAATAAAAAGTAACTTCATGAGTTAAATTAAGCTTCTGATAAGTTGGTACTCATCCACTCACAATCTGTACATGGTACCCGTCACCACACTGCACATATAAATACAGGCTACCTTTATCTGAGCTGTCCCTCATTAAATTTAACAAATCACTGCATCTGTATACCTCATGAAGTTCGGAAGTATAAAGTGAATAGTTTTGAAATATTCTAATTTAACTTGAAAAAACAAGCCTGTGAACAACTCTTAAAACTCAAATAATTTTTTCAATCCTCTGCAATAACAACGAAACTAGCGGAAAATTGTCTAAATTTAAAAACAACGTAAAGAACGTGAATATGGCTTTTAGCATCGCCCAAAATCAGAACCAGCACGAGCAAGACAGATGACCACCTGATAACAATTGAATCTTGAGTTGACTCATCGGGCAGAAAAGCATCCACATCAATTTTCCTCATAAGAAGGGAACACGAACCACCTCTACTCTCAGAGTCATTTTCCTGGAACCGAAACATCTGAGGTGACATAGGCCCAGATTTATTCTGAACGAGATTCATTACTCCCATTTCTGGCGACGATATTCTGTCAATGCCTGCAGTCGGAAAAGCAGTCTGCTGTTGATCATAACCCAACTCAAATACGTCATTCCCTGTCATGAACAGTTCATTCGACCTCCAGCTTGCCTCTGGTAGACTAGATAAAATGGGCCCGTTTGTCGTTGTAGATTTTGAAGGCAATTCCAAACGTTCGGCAAAGCCAAGAACGCCTGAGATTGTCGATAACGATTGTTGTAGCATCTGTAGCTGCTCAAGAAATGCTGCGCAGTCAAAGGCACGAAAGATCAGTACTTTCAAAATTCATTTGTTTGAGAGTGAGTGGTCGCAAAGCGACAAACGTTTCCATCAAAACCCTCAAAATATCTGCGCGTCACATTAAGACCCAAGGACATCTAGAAAATTCATTAGCAGCATGAGTCATATTCAAAATCTGAGGTTTATTACAAAGATTTGGAGATTCTCTTCAAAAGTCGTGTGAGTTAGTCATTGCATCAGTGAGAGAACTTAGTAGCGACCAGGTAGTACCCTGTTGTGTGGGCTCCAGATTCCTCAGACTTTCTTTAACTCTTCTTTTGAACTCCCTTTCTTGAACTTCCCAACCTTCTCTCATGTGCTGCGTGAAAGCTGGAAAGTTAAACTTCATGGAAAAAAAAACCAATTAGACCTATTGAAAAATCAGCTTCTACCAAACAATGAGCTGGTCATGTATTTCTTTTCACCCCAAGGAAATGAAAGTAACATATCGCTTCTCTATCACGCGAATAAATCCCAAACTACCGTGTTGCACTAACCCCTTCAGCTGGAATACAGAATCCACAGAATATGCTTTACGAAAATGCACTGTCAACGGCATGCATGTGATGTAAATACACAATAATGCGATGCACTGTACACGAACGTGTAATTATTGAACTTACCGAGGACATAGATGAATGAGAAGGTAACGCAGTCCCAAAATCCCCTACCCCTGCTGCCCTCTGAACTGAGTAATGATATACCCGAATTGATTCATTAATGGCATCTAACCAAGGCTGCCGGTAATCACGACTAATCGTACGCAAATAATAAACCATTGAGCCCTTGATAATCTTGAACTGCCGTTCCTTGCCTAGGGCAGGAACCACGGTGGCCCCCTGTTCATGTCAATTGAAAGGCAGATGATATCAGTAGTGGTCCAGTTAAGGTTGAGGTACTCAACGTCGTCAACTTCGCTGCTGATTCAATAGGATCAGGAGAGAAGGACAACACTTACAAGGAGACTGATGCATCCATGACGACCAATTTGATCTGAATTCTTGTAGTGGAGAAGCAACCCTGGAGGATTTGCAACAAACCAGCGTCGCCGCCAACGCTTGAACCTTCCGGCCCAAATAAGAACCCATCCTGCAGGAGGCCGTCCACCTGTATCTGAGCCACTGTTTGTCCGCTTATGCCACCTTCGCGGATCATATATCTTCCTGAATTCAATCACACAAAAATTCAACGGAAGCCCAAATATGAAATAAAAGGTTGATAACAAGTGCATCACCTTCGGATCAGATTTCAGCCTCGAAAATACCCCGAGATTCGTCAGAAGAAAGGAAGACCACCCTAGAAGATAGCAAAATGTTTAAGATTTATCTTTTTATGAAAGTGAAAAGACGAGCTCTATAAATTTATGAAATCTATCACCAGGCAAAAGTAGATTTATCAAAAGAAAATTATGTTAGTAATGGTGTTCTTGGCGAGAGACAGGGAGAATGAATGCCTGCCCACCACTGAACTCTTTCATTCGAACTTTGTGTACAAACTACAGCGTACATGAAATTTGTTAAGTCAACCAAAATCCACCTTCAGTCAATCGAGGCCTTAATCAGAAATTCAACTGTCCCTCTCTATGTGTCAAGCACAGCTACACTCATTCCTAAAATGCCTCAGATTTTGGTAGTACAATGTTAGTACACTTGACTGTACATAATTTCATATGATGAATTAGTAGATAGAAGATTTTAAAAATAAGAATAGAATAAAACAAAAATAAGTAAATCTAACCTGTGGCCATGCGCCAACTCCTTCGAGGCTGATGAGCGGCGACGCCGTTGACGCTGCTGATGAGGGATCACCGCTTCCATCGCATGTAGGGAGCTTAAACTAGGTCGAAGACAAGAGGCAGCCGCTTTCTAAAACATGGCAACATAATGAAAAGGTTTTAGGATGATAGGAATTTTACGATGTCTGAGAACCTACAGAGGCACTGAAACAATTAACAAGAAGACTGAGGGCCACTCACTACGCCTCGATGAACAACAAGAACGTGTCCGAGATATCAAGGAATTCTAGCAAACACGTCTATACTAGAGTTCAGTTTCCAATACCACTTGAACGAAAAACTCCGGAATCGAAAAAGAGAAATTCGAGAGGTATATCAACAGGAAGCCGCAGGTGTACGTTACGATACCAGGAGCAGTCTGTGTAATTAACGCCCGACCTCCAGTCCTCCTTGATCAAAGATTAGCATGTCACAAAAATAACCTCCAACAAGCACTACTCGTCTCCAACACAAAGTACAACCGCATTTCTAATTCCCCGAAGATAAACTTGTTCTAACTGAATAATTTGCATGAGTTTGACAAAGAGAGAAACAGCGCCAGGGCATCTCTCGGCAGAGGCCAACTGGACTAATGAACTATCGAAAAGCTCTTACTCGACCAGATCCCCCTGTAATCTTGAAAACTATCCACCAGGAATCACCAAAATTCGCAAAAAACTGCCCTCGAGAATCTTAACACTTGTTTTCTGTACAAAGATCACATAATTGCCCCTCCCCTCGCGATGCTGCTCCTCCTCCCTATTTGCTCTGCTCCATGGTAATCCCCTCACCATCAAACACCGGAAACAGAATACGACCTCAACTCGGAGCACGCCGCCTTCTTATGACCTCCCCTCGCCAATCGCTAAGCTCAACATTGTCTAAGATCGACACAACGAATATGCACGAGCATCACACCAGCAAGCCAATTTCAACCATCCAAAATCACCATCACATCACCCTGGCGCATCAAAATCGCTCCAGGTCCGCATGCTGTCTCTCTTCTCCCAACCATACCATCTCTCAAATCTCACTCCACTCTCCCCAGACAATCGAAATTACTCTTCTACAATGTCCGCTTCACAACAAATACACCCGAACGATCCAATTCCGTGTCGACATACCACTGCACCTCAAAGGCGTGCACTCGTCATCAAAGGTTTCGCCTTCAAATTGAAATGCGCCCGCTGGAGCTCCCAGCGACGACTACAGCTCTTTCACAGAAGTAACCATTCCGAACTCGATGCGGAACCAAAACATGCCAGATCGGTGTCTACGGAAGCGCGCTTCGCGACTTCATGGGCACAGCTCCACATGGAATGCAGCCCAGGGTGGAAGAGTCGATTACGGGCTCGTCGATCGCCGCACCGATAGTCCCCTTTCTCGCTTTTAGCGCATCGCAGCACCACCTGGCAGGGCCTTCTTCTTCTGCTGCTGCTTAGTCCCCACTCTGGGCCCGAAGTCTGTGCGTTTCGACGGCCTCGATCCTCCGTGTCAGGATCCGACGTCCCCTCCAATGCGAACGTTGTTCTCTGTTCCGGGAGCTTTGTCTTTTTCTGGCTCATTGAGTCAATTTGTCGAAGGCTTGGTCCCGTAACCGAAGGGATGCTCTCCAACTACCCCTGAATGCTTCGCTTTCCAGAGCCAGCCAATCAATCAAAATTATGTATGAAACAATGAATGAATGAATGAATGAATGAATGAATGGATGAATATTTTGTTGGTTAAAATCGTAAACAATACATATAAATACAAGATTAATAGCATTTGGGGAGGGAATCGAAATAATGTTGCATGTTATGCTTCAATAATTTTAAATACAAAATTATGTTGCATAAATGTTCAATAATCAACCAAAGTGGTCTTTGAAAAATAATTATGAATTAATTAGAAGATAGCATGAGATTTAGTGTATCAAAGATTTGATAGTGATTTTTTTTTAATAATTACTTTTTTGTTCATTACGAAATTCCACTTTGAAAACTATTAAGCGTGAAGAGTTACTGAGCAAAGATGATTAATATCAGGAAATGAATTTATTGAATATGTTCAAAGGTAAGCTTTGATGTTGTCATAAATAGGGTGATTGTATGTATCAGTGCTACTGTATGTAAGTTACTGATTATTTTGTACTACAAGTTTTTAAAACCAGAAACTCATGATATTCTACACAATCACCATTCACTGCACCATACCCACAATGACCACACTTGTGCTGCCACAAGTGCCACTGCTACCACTACTAGTGCAGCCACAAGGAATCAAACCGTGTCTGCAGCGAATCCGTGCGGACACTCTGTTGCAGCGTCGCTGCAGCCACAAACACGCACTCCACGGCCACCATTGCCCAAAAGGCTTTGCCGCATTGGAAACCAAGCATCATGATCGCTACAGCTGGAGTTGCAGTGGGGGGGGGGGGAGGAAGAAAGTGGGAATGGAAGACAGAATGGATGGTTTCAGAGCTAGAGACATGAGCATGGCGACAAAGGTGACAGCAGGGTGTGGCTGTGGAGAAGGGCGTACTGGTGCTCAGGTTTGACGCTCCGTCCCTCACCCAGCCCTGCTCATTGGAGCACACTGTCTGGTACACTCGGATGTGTTCACATTCACTGCAACTTGCTGGTAAAAGCCCAGACCCAATCGTGTTTTGGTTTTAGTTATCTGGTGTGTTCTCTTTTGGGTAGAATTAGCAACGTCATCGACCAATATATTTGTAGATGTCTGAGTAATGTATTCGAGGGACAATCAATGAACGACGGGACAAGAAGAAGAAGGATTTAAGCGCACGCAAAGGCCACGGTAGTACCGGAGCTTGGTCGATGCGGTTTTGATATGCTTGTCCCACCTAAAAGTACTGAATAAGTCGCAAGCAAAGGTAACTAGATGGAGGTGGAGATGCGTTGCCTTCGGAGTGTGACAGCGAATCTATTCAGTGAGTGAACTCTAAAACTGTATCCAATAGTTCAAGCAGCGGTCCATGATTGGTGAGAGCCGCTTGGAGAAACCACCGACGCTCCTTTGTGTCCATATTGTTCAAACGTAGATGCCTACGAATAAATTTTAATTGGAAGGAACGCATCAATGCAACATTTCCAAAGGCCTTGCGTAATAGAGATCCAGACCCTTTCCCCATTAACGTGCAGTATAATTCTCTGCATGATTGATAGGTGGTAGATGGCCATAGTTAGCAGATGGACTAACTTCAAGCCGTGAAGTTGGACAGATCGAAACTTCCTGGATGATGACGCTGTTGCTGTGATTGCAATGCTATGAAAGGCAACGCTAGGTCTCAGGCGGGATCGATTTCCCAGTGACAGGTAATCGGACTGGGTGGAAAGAAACCGTGTGAAATCATTCTACTGGGCTTAGTGAGAATGGAGAGACCTCTATCTACCCACTGAAGCACACTGTGTGTCAGGTGCGAGAAGGGGGGGGGGGGATGATTTACACCAGCATGTAAATAATTCGTGGGAATTGGTGGCGAATAATGATGGAACTCAACACCAGGAACAAACAATCGGTTGTCCGTTCTGCAGGATGCTCTGCCCGAAAGCATCCTCTCAATCAATTCCGCCCTACGCTTTCAGCCCACTGGGGCCAAGGGGTAGGTTACTTCCGAGTGATTTCCTCTACTTTCCAACTGATTCACATGACTAACTACATAATATCTTCGGAGAAGCAGCGGCCGAGAATCTTCGGCGTTGCTGCATTCTCAGCTCCCATCGATCTTCATCGGTTCTAGTGATCCTTTAAGGCCTTCATCGCGATGACGGAAGCTACTTCGTCACACGGTCATCCGATGACCTTATCCCTACGAATCCCGTCGCTCTATCCACACTTCGCATGTAAAAACGCGCTTCTGACAATCGAAGCTCTGCTCTGCAACCATCTCGAGCTCGTCGCTCTCTCTGCAACCAGTCGCTGGTTTGGGTGGAGGCGGTGATCAAACCCCGAGCAATCACACAGTCGCTACTCGTAGATTTCTCAGGGTCCATGCACAGAATATGAAGATTTTTCTCCTTCAAATCTAGTAGTTTATAAATTCGAAATCTATTGTAAACATGGTCTCACGTTACAAAATCTGATAGTTGGACTTTGAACTTCTAATTGTTGATGTGATCTTTTCTATGAAAGATTTGAAGATTGTTTGAGTACTCGCAAAGTTGTTAGGATGTTTGTTATATAGGAATCTATATGCATAGTTGCTTCATACTAAAAGCTTTTTATGTACTTCTGGAAATTAGATGTTGTAATTGTAATTTTTTTTGTTTTGTGATTGGTTCAAGTTAGCATTGTGTTTTGTTTATTTACCTGAAATATGGCATGAAAATTTACGTCAATAATTATCAAAATAAGAAATGAATCATTGGATGATTTTAATACTAGCATGTATAGATTTTTAAGTTTGAGAATATTTTTTAAAGATTTTCACTCAAAGAATTAAATTCTTATAATCACAAGTTAAGAAATTTAAATGTCAATATGTGTATTTTTCATTGAGAATTTAAATTTAATTATTTATTCACTATTTTAATTTTTAATATATATATTTTTAATAATCAATTAAATATATATTCTAAAATTAAAATAAAAAGCTATCAAATTTGTACAAGTTTGATTTTATTATAGTTTGATTTAAAGTTATGAGAGTTCTTACTAACTATGATGAATTGTCAAAAAAACCTATAATTATGATATTTTGATGCAAGCTCTTTTATATAATGAAGGTTTAGACTAAAAGAGCTTGCATCAAAATATCATAGTTCTTATTAATTTCTATAGAATTCTTCTAAAGATAGATTTTAGCTTAAAATCTAAATAATTTATATGAAATAATTTATAGGAATAAATTGTAATTATAATTAATATTTAATTATAATTTTGAATCATTTAATTTAATGTATTAAAATAAAAGTAAAAGGTTAATTTTTAGAATTTGAAAATCTAACAAGACATATATACAAATAATTTTTTACAAAATTCGTACCTAAATCTACTTAAAAAATATTTCAAATTGTAACCAGATAAGACAATTAACTATGGCAAAGATAATAAATAGATACAAACTCAAAGAAAGTGTAATTTTACCTTGATAGTTAAATTGTTATTGTTAAATAGATATTTATATGGAACCAATAAATAGTAATCTATCTCCAAAGAAAAGACCACCATAATTATTGACAACTAAGCATCATAGTAGGTAAATATATGTATTGATACATTGGTAAAATCAGAATATTTTTTGCTTAACTCTTAATTTTAATTATACATAAAATAATATCTTTTCATGCATATAGTTTTATTAAATATCATATTAAATATAGTTAAACTTATCAAATTATGTATAACCTAAAATATAATAAAATTATATATATATATATATATATATATATATATATATATACAATAGAAATTAAAAATATAATAACATTGTAAAATATATTTATAATGTCAAAAATTATTTAAAAGAATTATTGGTCATCAATTTCCTAAATCTAAAAAATAAATAAATTTTCATCTTAATAAAAAAATTATGAATAAAATTATAGATTTTTTTCATTTTAATGTAAAATCAATTATTTCTTACATTTCATTACTTCGTCATATATTATATTTAAAAAATTAATATACTTATGATTTGTTAATAAAATTAATATTCTAATATTATATATTTTTAAGTTTTTTTGAAAAACAATATGTGCCTCATTTTCATATAAATACATCATTATATTACTATTAAACATAATCAAAAGTAGAAAAAGAATTATAAATGAGAAATTAATATCAAAACATTTAAAAGAAAATTAAATTATTATATCTTTTATCTTTTAATGTTGTTGAAAAATGATTTTATTACAAATGACTTTATCAATTGTTCTAAGAGTGTAGAACTAAAATTATTTTATAAAAAGGCTAATATAATAAGTAATTTTTTAAATATCTAATAATATGATTAATTATTTATAATTAATAATAATAAAAATAATCCTACATAGTTTGTAGATTTTATAATTATACAATAAATATGCCAAATACAAAGTAGTTTCAATGTAAATATTAAATATAATATAAAATAGGTACATTATATAAATGATGTTGTTATATATCTTATTGAAGGAAGTAAATGTTTGAAGTTGAATTTAAAATGAAAATAGAAAAAAATAATATATATGTCCATGATAGAAAGAATAATAATTTAATATATTATATATTTTATCATTGATATATGTATTTATTTAGATTAAGAAAAATAAATAAAAGTAGATAGAAATAGATAGATTTGATAATATCTTGTGGATAAGGTTATTAGAAGCTTTATAGACAAGGATTTAACTTTATACATGTTTATAGGTTATTTGAAGGTGAAAAACTAGACCAACAATTTGACTACACATTACACTTG